TATTGGACCGATTTTGTTTGTTTTTTTTAACGACGCAGAATTTTGTTTTCTGGCTGCCAAAAGTTGTGCCGGGAAAAAATTGGTGTGCACTCTTCAAATACATGTTATTTGGACCCAAATGGACCATTTAAAACGTTAAAATCGTTTACACCACATTTTGCAAGAATCGGTCCTTCTGACTGCTCCGCATACTGGATTATCTGAGGAAACTGATAATTTTAGATGGGAAATATACACAAACGTGTAATTTCGTCATATTTGATTTGATCTAACTAAACAAAGTGCTACGCTTCTGGTAGTTTGAAAGCATTGTTATAAAACAGAGTTCATATTCAGCACTACTTATGATATAATATGTGAAGTACCTAGTATTGTACGTACCCCCCGCCCCGTCAAAGGGAAATATTATTACAGCCTCATTATAGGTTTTTTTTAATTTCTTGAAGCATCCTGATGTGATGCAAAAGGTTTTAGAAATAAAAAATTATTTCCAATGTACCTATAATAGGATATCCATTTTTCGTCTTGGGAATATGTGACATTATGATATACAAATCAACAGCATTCAAATAAATAAATAATAAATACCTACTTAGTTTATACATTTAATAAACAAAGCTAATATACACCGAAAATCGATTAAAAAGCTTTTTCCGTGTGTCGAGAATAGTATAGGAAATAATAAAGTAGATAATTGGTAGTGTAACTACTAAACAAATAGTACTAAGCTTTTCCATTTGTCCAGCATACAAATTTTAGTATATTGTACATTATTGATTATCAACCTAGTTACTAAACAAATAGTATCTGTTAATTACATTACAAGCGCCTTTTATGCAAAGATAAATCTACCTTCAACGCCCCGAGGTTGGTACAGCATATTTTCTAGTGGAGCAGAGACGATTTTTTGATTATCGTGTAACAAAGGGCCGGCCTTGTGATACCTCTAGTTGTGATTTCTCCCAACTTAAGAGTCTGAAGTTAAAAATTGTTTTGTGGTTGCTAGGTTTTCGATTTTAGGTCATGCGTTTTTGTTTTTTTGTGGACGACTGGTGTTAACTGTTAGGTACGATCCTGGTTTTTTTAATTGTGCGGTGAATGGTTACGGCGATTTGGAGTCGTGAGATAGGACGTGATTGTCTATGGTTACAGGAAAATTTCTGTTTATGCTGCAATCGCTGCTTTCTGGTGTTGCGATATAATTAAGGGTACGGGTAACGTGGACACAATTTATAGCTGCCGCCTGCCGGCCCGTGTGGTGCAGTTCAGTTGAAACTGGACTGTGGTGCTAAAGATCCCTGGTTCGAATCCGGGTTCGGGCATGGGTGTTTGTAAATGTATAGTGGGTTGGGTTGGTAGAGCAGCCTTGGCCCACTCAAAAACAAAGGCAAATAAAAAATAAATAAAAAATTTCATCTTATCTATAGTCTTGGAGTAAGCTAAGTTGATGCCTTTATCACTCCCCCATCATTCTTTGGATTGCTTATTTGCGCCCTGATTTTGCAAATGTAGGTTAATAGCCATTAGCCTCTAAGTTATCCTTTTCCTGTTTCTATTGTTCACAGTCAAATTGGTTTATGGACATTACACTTAATGTTTAGATCTTAGCTTCTAGAGTTGAAAATGGTTGCGTTATCGATCGTCAGCTCGCACATGAAGGTATTTTGACTCGAACGCTTTTTTCCGACACTTTTCCACGCGATTTATAGAAGTCACGCAAGATGAACGGAATTCAACGAATTTAATTAGTTGCCCGGCAAACCTTGACCAGGTGTAAATTAGTACAAGTGCGACATGAAAAAAAATTACAAATCTTACGACATTAATACCGTGTCTCAGTTGTAGTTAGGTGGAGTGCTTCTTTTTGTAAATTTCTGGTAGGTTGTTTCATTCCTGTTGTAATTGGGAAATTGATTTTAAGTGCTCACTTTTATTTTGGCTTACTGTTTTTACAAATCATACCGTTTTTAGCAATTTTGTGCATACCTTCAAATCTTTTGATGAAACATAGGCAATTGCACTTTTTGGGCATATCTACAATAATGGATTCATACTAAGAAATATAAGAACTAATACTACCTACTATCCAAAACAATAGCCACCTCTCCTTTTCCTACTATTGCGCTAATCAGGGAACAAATACCGTCTATGATTACATTATCAACGTTGCGATTACAGTAATTATAGAGTCGCTAGGTACTACGATAATGGGGAAACCAAGTGAAAGACAGGCTTTTGTGCGCTGGTAATTTCGGGTCCCAATTTTCGGGAATCGATGGAATAAAATTGAGGTAAATATTGAACCGGAATTTCCATATCTCTCATCAATTTATTATGAATGGGTATTTTGCATAGATGTACAGTCATTGACAAAAGTAACGATCCTGCAGCATACGAACCAACATTTAAATTGATTGTGCCACTTGGACATGCGAACCAATAAATTGAGGTATCATATCCTTGAATAAATCGACGGACCCGATGCGATAGACGCTGCAGAATTTACCCATTAGGCAATCATTACTTTTGTCAATGACCGTACATTCTATTATTAATCAAACACTTAACCGTTAATTCCGACCGTGTAAACAATCGTTAATTAAAGAACGTTAGGCGATTAATTTAAATGTCGGCCTTCAGCCTGGGACGAATTTAGTCAATCTATGCAAATGAAAATTCCTATCGTTACTGACCCACCGCAACAGTCAGGATCAATATTTCGTTTATTGGGAAGTTGATCCTATCAGCGTTTCTTGAAATGTGTCGCCGTAAAGGGAAGAAAGTCATTTTTGGAAAGTTGCATTATGGCCAAGTAGTTAAGTGTCTTTTTTGGCTCTTCGTTTTGGTGTGGAATGTCGATTCTCTTTGAATTTGGCACTAATTGAATCTTTTATGGGACGATTAACAAAGCACAAGATAAAATAAAAGCGATGCGTTTTATAAGGAAGGCTGTAAGAAAAGCATTTTTTAGCGCATTTTTCAAAAAATAAAATGCGCTATTACGAACGATTTTCGGAGCGAGGCCCACTCTTGACACTGGAGAGTCGTAAAAAGCTCGTTGATGTCTCGTGAGATAGACAAAGGTCCCCAGATGCAACGTAATCACTCCAAATGATGTCCAAATATGAGAAAATTTTTAATTTACACACCGATTTCGTTGGAGAAACTGCCAAAACACATTGCTAAATAGTGCCCATTAATTTTTGTGAACCCCATAATCACTAACGCCCATATTCTTTCATTGAAATTTTATTTTATACAGAACAGACTTTGGAATAGCTTTAAAGGTTTTCTTTAAAAGTTTTTTAAAGCTTTTTAAAGTCTCTCAAATGCCATCGAAGTTGGTAAAAGATTAAATAAAGCTCATACAAACACTTGAAAAATTAGTCGTCTTACAGAAGTTTTTGAGAATCAATAAACAACTCGCAAAAACATAAATCCTTATTCAAAACTCTGACCTCTAAACAAACTTTAAAGCCTCTAAAACCATATAGAACGATTTTCGGGACCCTTAAAGGTCCTTGGAGATTCTTTCAAATTATTTTGGATCTTATTAACTCCTAACAGTTTTTGGAAACTCTTAAAGTTTAATGAATATCTCTAGATTCATGATCCATAAACCCCCTAAAGACCCTTTGAGATTTTTAAAAGCTCCCAGAGACCCACCGAAGGCCCTTAAAGCCTGGAGCATTGGAAAAAAGAAATCTCTTGGAACCCCTTTAGATTCTTAAAATCTCTTAGACCTCTTTTAAACTTCGATTTTAAATTAGAATTCTTTATTGATCTAACCATCACTCTATGCTTTATGGGCTTCTCGTCTCGTACCTTTATTTTTTCGACAGTTTTGAACGAATTTGCTCGTACTACGATGACACCTTACAGCATGGAAATTCGGTTATGATAGCCTAGGTGCCAGAATACCCGGATAATTCAAATTTTCAAATAATGTTTTTTCAATTGCGAGCAATTTTCAAGTTAATCCTAACTTTCCATCAGTTTCTGCATTTGCTAGTAAACCACAGGATCATTTTTGGAAAAAATTACTTAAGCCTACAGGAATAAATGTAATGTTCCATGTTCAGAGGGGTATATTATATCTCTGTGCAGATTCATTCTGTCGGACTATGTCACAATGGAGTGAGTTTATGGCCAACACTTCCTTTGTAGTATGAGTTCCAACACCGTGATTTCCGAAAGGAATATCTTGGAATCACTGCCATTTACGACACTCGACATTTTCTTGGATGCTTTTCTCTATAAAACTAGTAGGTACCTACCAGCGGTTCTTCATTATACATCGAATTACTAACTACGCTTCTACAAAGTTCAGGTGGAGAGTTTTTAATTCGCCCCGAGAAGCTTCACTATAATTTTCCAAATTGGCTATAACAACGTCCTGTTTTCTCAATTGGGCAATAATTGCAACATAACCAGTCGCGATAAAGTGTACATTCCAATTGCGCTCGCGTGTAGGTACGTAGGTAAATCGTGAAATCGGATGGGGAAATCCCGTGGGAAATCCTCCACTTTCTTAGATTAGCCACCGTATTATTGTCGTATAAATCTGAAGCACGGACGTATCGCGACTCATTTGTGCGTATTGACTGTGTACATTTCTAGTGTAATTTAAATCAACTTACTTAGAGGTAATTGTTGTGCGCTAATTTATTGCGATTATAATTACGTGATTATTTCCGTTATGAAATCAAATCATGTGGTAAACAGTAAGTCGTTGTCCTTGGATGTTAACGCATAGTTTTTGAGATGAGATATTTAATAATATCATTGAATAATAAATCTGATATTATTCAATGATATCAAATGAACATCTGCTTGATTTTATGGTGCTAAAGGTGTAATTTTTGAGCGTAAAGCAAAAAGTGGTCGTTTTTGGGTTTCTGGCTATACAGTTAAGTTTCGAGCCCCATGAGAAGAAAACTCGGCCAAGTGGAGTCTAATTTTAGTAAGTAGTCTGTTGAACGTTTTCCTAATACACATTCTGAAGGTGAGTTCTCATTATTTTACACCCAAATCAGGCGAGAAGAAGTGGTTAAAAACTTTCTCAAATCAAAAATTGTTTTACAAGCAACAGAATGCTGGCGGGTCTTAAATTAGTCTCATTGTCGTGCAAGTAAAATGATTGTGCATGATTTATTTGGAAAATCACGATGTGCCTCAAAATCGCCTAGAGCAGTCACAAAAATGAAATTTAGAATGCTTGTTCATTTGACAACTTACTCAAATTTTATTCGATCTGATTGGGCGGTTTTCTGCTCATAAGGCGACACAAATGTCATATACAAGTTATTCTTTTATTAATTTACGTATGTAATTATACATTTACAAATTTATCTGTATATTCGAAGAAGTTGCCTAGGAATTTACAGATCTTTCTGCGAGTATACTAATATATCGATTTGGGACTTAAGGTGGAGGTTCCTAATCCTTCAGTCACATAGTGTACTCTTTTTCCAATTCATCCATCCTACTTGAATCCTGCGGTTAATTTCCTTGTCCAGTTCCCCCGTGTCAGTAGCGTAGGAGCCGAGGTCTACAGCTCTAACCAATCTCTGTTCTAGTAGGTTTATGCTACCAAGACTGCCCTCTCCTCCAAATCACATCCTCGACTGCCAACTGCAATCTTTTCAGATTTTCCTCCACTTTCCCTTTGCTCTTATGCAATAAGAGCATGGTCCAAGGGCCTGTTCTCGCACTTCCTCCATCAGCACGTCAATTATTGTATTAAATAAACATTGATTCTCTGATGCCTATTCTTACAGGAAACATGTATCCTCAATCACTTAATCTTCTGTTCTTCCCTTTGTTTCTCTTTCTTTTTGACTTTTCAATCGCAATCCAATATCATAGGTCGATGGTAATTCGTTTACAGTTCTTAGCCTCTGCCAGATGGTTCCTTTTACATAATTGACTTTCTGATCTACCACATAGGCAACGTATTCGTTATTTCTCCCCTCTCCCTAAAGAAACTATTAATCACAGCCATATCCCAAACAACAGGAAAGTCTCTTCCCCTTTTGGATTCCTCTGGCTCGTCAAACCCTATCCAACGTGCACTCTATCTACCCCCTCTCTGCTCTAATCATTCAGGCCAATCAGGTCCGTTTCAAAGAAGCATCCTTCTTCTGCTGGTATCTCTCCCATTTCCTGATCTAAGGCTCTCAACGAATGTTCTTTCAGTTCATCGTTGCAGCCCACTTGAGGTGCATAATGTAACGGGTTAGTACTTGTAGAAAATGAATTTTATTCTTTACGGCACTTAATAAAAATACTTGCACCCTCCCCCTCACTTTCTTAACGGAAGTACACGTTTTGAAGCATCAGGAATCTGAATAAAACAAAATCTTGAGTCTTGAGAAGAACATACATCAAACTGACTGATACAGCCCATATATATTCTCACTAGGTAGATGACAATAACATCCAGTCTCCATTACAGGAGGGCTGGTACTATCTTGGTGATTTGTATGCTGGGAACGATTCCACTGCCCAGGATACTCTCGCCTCTTCCACCACCTGAGATGCTGTACTGGCTCTGCAATTAGCTTTACCTGCCTCTGGGTCAAGGTTTGGTCACGGGAGGGGGATGGTTTGGAGGTGAGTCTTTGACCCATTTGGGTCATCCTGGCCTTCTTTTTCCTCTTCTGTTCAGTGCCAGAGATGCACTTTCGTGGTTTGGTGTGTTGAGGCTAGGTGACCTGCAACAGAGTTTTAGGGGCGTCCTGGGACGCTCCCTCTGAAATTTCGTACTCCCAGGTGAATATAGCTTGTAGAGGGTGACAGAAAAGAGGCCTGGTTTCGCTTCGAGGTCCGTCATTCGATAACGACCTGCCTTCCGCTAGTCTACTGCCACTAGTCTTCCAGATGCTCACCAAGTCGATGGTCTGACTCGGCGACACAGTCGATTGATGATGGTGGGTTAGCCATTACTTTCCTTCTTAAGCGAAATTTATTAAGAGTCGCCTCGCACGGCACAAACACGACGGTGGGGTCTTTAGTCCGGAAACTCACTTGGGGCCGTCATTCGCCGGGTTGATCCTGACGCACAAGGCCCAACATCGAGGGGAACCAAATTTGGTACACATATTTTTAGAAAAGCTGAAATATTCTGCACGGAATCGCACATGCGCAGATATGCGGATGGTACTTGTGCTAGCCACAGCAATTTTCCTAAATCTGAAGAAGAAAGCTTGATGTATCGATGTATTGTGGTATCATTCTAAGTGCGGATTTCTTGCAGAAATAGGTACAACCATCTATAATTATTTATTAAGTAGGTACACTTCAATGAGTCAAGACCTATTTAGATTAATAAATCTTAATCTTTAATAATGAAAATAGATAAACTGTCTCAAAGACAGCAAGTCCAATTGACGAGTATTGACCAAAATGTACTCCTGACCTATTATTGAAAACAGATTTGGAAAATTCAAAACCTTTCGCGAGCTATCATGTTCACAGGCAGACGGACGAACGGACGAACAGAAAGTCCAAAATCATGAACAATGATTTGTCGCTAATGGATGGTGCTGTACAGGTTGTCTCATTTTCGAAACGATTACAGGGTATCTCCGTAATTGTTAGAGCTATCAAGAGGTAATATCACCATTGAATTTATCCTATAAATTCAATGATATCGCGGTAAAATCAGAATTTGAAAATATCCGCTCGCTTAAGAGATACGGTGGAATTTTAGAATGACCCTGAATACAAACGTTTCTTTATAATGATTATATCGTGTTCTGCCAGGTAGGGTTGCCATCTCAAAACTCTGCCAACTAGGACAGGAAGCGTGAAAACCCCGGATTTAGGGATTATAAACCCGGACATATCAACTGAATTTGATAAAAAAAATTGTCTAAAGAAATAAAACAAACAATTTATTTTTCTGAATAAAACAAAGCGTACTTTATCACGAAACAAAATCTTCTTTAACTGTTAGGAATCAGCAACGGCTTACCTACATTTTTAAATTCTTTAAATGAAGCAATAATACACTTTTTTAACAAAATAAAATACAGAAGCTAATCACAATAATTTTTAAATTTATTTATTTTATTTTGCCTTTATTTTTGAGTAGGCGGGGTTTTAGCCAAAGCTGCTCTACCAACCCAACCCACTATACATTTACAACAATCCATGCCCGAACCTGAATTCGAACCAGGGACCCTTAGCAGCACAGTCCAGCTTTAACTGAACTGCGCCACACGAATGAAACAAAAATTTGGTCTTTTAATAAAATAAAATGTTTAATGAACTATTTACTTTTCAAGTCTTCGATATTTATCCGTCTTTCCAATAGCCTTTGGAATATCTTCCTTTCTTAAAAGAAATTTATAAAAATCTAGGTACACAATTAGTCTTTGAAATTGTACTTTATTTTTATCACTGACGAGACTGCTTCAATATTCAATAAATTCCTTTCTTTGGTCCACTGTTATGCCACTAGTGAAAATATTCTTTCAAGGTTGGCATTATGAGCAAGAATGCAAAAAAGGTACTAAGCAATTTTCAAAAACTCCGAGTATAAATGAGCATTCCGTGTTTTAAAAAATTGTAACCAAAGCTGAATTGAGCTTAAAAGTTTATCTTGTTGGCTTAAATTTTGACAGAAAGATTTTTAATTCACCCACTCATAGATGTGTCAGTAGCCCTCGCAATAGCCTAAAACCCGGACTACCAATGAAACCCCGCCCGGACGCCCCTTAAACTAGGACAAATCCGGGGAAACCCGGACGGATGGCAACCATAGCCAGGACCATAACCTAATCTCATTCATTTAAATGGAACACCTTGTATATTTTATTCTAAAAAATAGCATATTAAATTCTCTTTTCAAAAATATAACACACTAAGGATGATATTCAAAAAAATTCAAAAAGATTAAAATAATAATTTAAACAATTTTTTAATCTTTTTGAATCAATATTGAATTTTTTTAAATATCATCCTTAGTATGTTATATTTTTGTAAAGAGAGTTTAATATGCTATTTCTTAGAATAAAATATACTTATTTTGAAAACGGCAGATTATTCAACAATCATTAGATATAATGAACCTTTACTAATAAACATTTTTCTGTATCTCCTTTAACTAAGAAAATATAGGTTCATTTAGAAATTGACAATTTTTTGATTTTCACCCGTATGTCTTAAGCGAAAACTTTCAAATTTTGATTTTACCAAAAAAATAATATGACGATAGGCGTGTTCTAACAATTACAGATATTCCCTACAAAAGTGTCGAAAATGGGACACCCTGTAGGTACATCTTGCGAATGTTGCAATTATTTTTAAAGGCATATCCCATCGTTTAGGCCCAGGACAGATATAGATCTCAGCAATGGACACCACATTCAACCCGGCACTGAAGCATACTCCCTAATGCATGAATTACAGGGCTTCTGTTTTTCATGAACTGTAGTTTTTGAATACAAAATGTTTCAAAAGTAGGAGAACTCAATAGTGTGGATTGATTCGCAATGTTGAAGAAGTCACTTCGGTTTCTTTTGGAAGAATGAACGCCCATCCTCTCTTGACGAATACAATATTTCGTAATTCGCACCTTTCACTCTTGCAAATATTTCAACTGGTTCTTTTTAACACGCCTTCACCTGTTTTTGCCAATTTACGGCGACATAAATACCTACCTACCACTCTATTCTAATTGCGGTTATCGAAAGATCAGTCAACTATAAAACGTATAGTCCAGTTTTAACCGGTATTCGAAAAAGCGGGCGCCAATTAAGCCGTTAATAGCGATCGCGGTTCAAGCAATTAACTTTCGGACGATGAACGTGATGCAAGAATTTTAAAATTTGCACTTGCATCGCGTACTTAAACGTTTCGCCGATCAAGCATCCATCGTTTTGACTTTCGCCTTCGCACTGGATGCAATTTCTGAATATCGATCAACTGTTTGCGTCACATTTTGCCAGGAATTACACTCAAGTACCAGATAACAAATCTGGGAGAAACTGTGACCCTTTATTCTATTGCAGACACTGGGGAAGAATGGTCGCGAAAGTCAAAGAGGCGCACACCAACTCCGCTTTTATCTGTGACAGTGGTACCTACATCCAGCGGTGAGTGAGTCTTCCAAGTATTTGCTCTTTATTAACTGAGAACTTGCAGAAATGACCAGAAGGAAAAGCACACCGTCGACTTATCTGCCACGCTCAAGACAAACGATGACTGCTACGACCCGTACCTCCATAGGGAAGTGGCCCATCCTACAACGTAAGTAAAGGACCGTGAACCGCAAAAACTCAGGGGTGCGATTACAGCAACTGGGAGACTCTTTTTCATCTGCTCAAAGGTAGCCTAGGAACCGGAATTTTGGCGATGCCGAAGGCGTTCAGCAACGCCGGATATGCGCTCGCAACTGTCGGGACGATTTTCATCGGTTTTATTTGCACTTACTGCATCCATCTCCTAATTAAATGCGAGTACGAGCTGTGCAAAAGAAGAAAAATTCCCAGTCTGACCTATCCGGGAACTGCCGAAGCGGCGTTCGCCGAAGGTCCCGGGCCCGCGAAGAAATTCGCGCCGTACTCTGGGTAGGTGGTCACTCAACTTGACTTCCTCTAATTCCATTTTATAGGTACATGGTGAACATATTTCTGCTGATCTACCAATTGGGTGCGTGTTGCGTGTATATCGTCTTCATTGCCGTGAATATTCAGGCCGTTGCCAATCACTACGTCGGTGATATCGCCGTGGAGCTATACATGGTGATGTTCCTGATTCCGTTGATCTTGCTCAATTGGATTAGAAATCTGAAGAGGTTGGCACCTCTATCTACCTTCGCGAACTTTATCACCGTTATCAGTTTCGCCATCACCTTGTACTACATCTTCAAGACCGGTCCGACGTTTGAGGAACGCGAGCCCGTCAGCGTCATCGAAAACATTCCGTTGTTCTTCGGCACGGTTCTCTTCGCTCTTGAAGCGGTTGGAGTGGTAAGTGCTGCCTTATTGCGTCCGTCCTTAACACTAATGTCTAGATCATTCCGTTGGAAAATGAGATGAAGACGCCCCAAGCGTTTGGCGGCGTCTTCGGTGTGCTGAACAAGGGCATGTCGCTCATCGTCACATTGTACACGGTCATTGGACTTCTAGGTTATTTGACCTACGGCCCGATAACGGAAGGTTCGATTACCCTAAACTTGCCCAAGGAAGATATGTAAGTATGGTACGGTAAATATGGTAACCGCTCACTTGTTTGCTTAGTTTGGCGCAGGTGGCCAAAGCAGGGTTGGCTTTGGCGATATTCATCACGTACACAATTCAGTACTATGTTGCCATTGATATCACATGGAATCAGTACTTGGGACCGAAATTGGAGAACCACCCCAAGGCAAAGATCTTTGAGTACACCACCAGGACGGTTCTGGTATTAATGACGTGTAAGTCTCATTTCCCCTTTTTTCGTGTTAGGAAGCAAAGATCACTTTGTTACAGTTATACTTGCCGCTGCCGTTCCAGCTTTAGATCTGTTCATATCGCTATTCGGCGCACTTTGCCTGTCAGCGGTCGGAATCGCCATCCCAGCAGCTATCGAAAGTTGCACGTACTGGTACCATCGACAAGGATGGAGCTTTTACCTGATGAACGTTAAGAACTTGGCGCTTATTCTGTTCGGTGTTTGTGGATTAATCGCGGGGACCTACACAAGTCTACGCGATATTATTCACAAGTTCTCATAGCCAAAGGGCAGACGGGGTTCGACACTCACGGATTGTGTAAAGTACCTGATTTGTATTTACAGTTAGTGAATTTTAGCTTTAAGTATTTATTTTTCTAATAAAATGATTTTGTCTTGCTCATTTTTGGTTGCTCGTCATTCTAAGTACAATTCCCCGCTCTAAGTGATTAACCAAAGCGACTTCGTTGTAGATCCAGTTTTTGCAAATGTGTACTTGTTGCTAGTGAGCGGTAATTCACTGTAAGCTGTAAATATGGGTACCCTGAGGTGAGAAAAACGCTTGTGGCGCGTGACTGGTTCAGTGATCAAGGGAGCTCGATCCGGCGGCCTATGACTGTTAGTCCATTTGGGTCCAATACATGTATTTGAAGAATGCTCACAAATTTTTTGCCGGCACAACTTTTCGCATCCAAAAAACTTCAAAATGTTTAGACTTTTTTCAGTTTTTCGCTTAAAACTCTAAAACGGTCCATATTTTATGAATAAAACAGCACAAAATCCTGCGTCGATTAAAAGATGAACAAACAAAATCGGTCTAATAGGAAAATGTTTACAAGTGATCCAAAAACACTCATTTTTTCCAACTTTTTAAAAAAATTGAGAATCTTTTTTTTTAATACGTTGTGGCTCCTAAAGGAACGATAAAATCCACTACCCCCCCTCACTAAAAATTGTAGAACATCAATTAGCGAGTTCAAAAAGTATCAACAATTTAAAATTGCACCAATTTTTGAAATTTTAGCTACCACTTCCAAAAAATGGGATTTTACCAAAATTGGCTCTAGGTACTTTTTTTTAAATATTGTGACACTGAAATATACGTGAGCATCAACCAAAGTTCAATTATTACCTAAATTTTTAAATTGGGCCAATTTTTTTAATTTGTAAACATCGTTTATCCAAAAAAATAGTAAGTACAGGGTGGCCAACTAAGAATGCGAGGTACTGTATCTGAGAATCTGTCCATCGTAGGGGCTTGCGGTAAAAAAATTTATTACTAAAACGGCCACGAGCAAAACCTGGAAAATATTTTTAAGTTTCTGCAATGGCCGCTACTACTGCAATCTGGAATCTAAGAAAGTGATTTTTTTGTGAATTCCGCTATATTAACCTAACAAAAAAAATATCCGGTATTGATTGCACCTATAGTGCACAAACGAAACGCAAACGATCAAAAGGAAAAAAACCGCCAAATGTGAAAAATGGGGGGCCAGTATGGAATTTTGTATTTGGAATAACTCAAAAACGACGGGGGGCGAACGAAGGTATTGGGAGCGGAAACATGCGCAATCGAAGCGCAAAAATGAAATTTGTAAACTTCGGGGGCAGTCGTGAAGTTGGCCCTTCCGAATTTGATTCCTTCGTAATTTTGAAACCGGCCGCGCGCAAACAAAATGCAGTTGTGCGAAAACGTGCGCAAACGAAGCGCAAACTATCAAATGGAAAAAAATGGCAAATTTGAAAAATGGGGGGCCAGTATGGAATTTTGCATTTGGAATAACTCAATAACGACGGGGCGCAAACGAAGCGCAAACGATCACAAGAAAAAAAATGTCAAATTTGTAAACTTGGGGGGCAATTGTGAAGTTGGCCCCCCCCCCCCCCCCCCCAAATTTGATTCCTTCGTAATTTTGAAACCGGCAGCGCGTAAACAAAATGCAATTGTGCGCAAACGAAGCGCAATGCATTTCAATCACGAAAATTATTGCTTTCTAAAGTTGGGGGGCCAAGTTCACGCAGGTCTCGAAATGTGTTCTGGTTCGATGACACGCCTCTTGTTGTTTTAGTTGACCAAAATCTTATCTTGTGCAACCTGCTTCAGCGTGTCACGGTCAAACAAACTTTTTAATGAAGCCATGGGTTTAACTCTTCTGGACTACTGACACTGTTTTGGGCCAGGATTAGGTGGGTACCCATCAAATACGACGACGATTTCTGGCCCATAGCGCCCCTTTACGAATGTTGAGTGGGATTCGGCTATGGTTTGGAATAATGCGTTTCGAGGCGAAACAACTTTATGAAGCAAGAAGCCTCCGTCAAAAACTGTGCAATACCTTTCATCTCTCTTGTTCAGGTCGAGTGGAGATATTGCCTTGTAGAGTGTAGACTTGGTATCTTTCCGCATGCGCTCTTCGTTGAATAGAGACATAGGGAATGGAGCAAGTTCATCTTTGAAAAATACCATCAAATCATCGTCAGCTGGATTTGAAAAGCACAATCTTTGAAACAGAGTGAGTGGATCAACTAAAATCGCTTTTATTAATCCAACTTTTAGATGGTTGGTAACGGATGCGAGATGGATCACTTTATCTTTTCTCTTGAAAGTGAAATTTGGAAGTTTCCATGGTTAACCATTTTTCTCAACATGTCTGCTCCTACTTCTGAGGCCAAGTGGCTCTGATCCACCAACAATGCCGCTGCTTAGTGACATGAGAACCATTCAAGCAATTTGGATGAGTCCTGTTCATCCCGGTTCTTTGAATAATTTCCAACAAACTTCAAAAATTGGTCCAATTTTATATTTTTGGTACTTTTTGAACTCTCTGATGTCCTACAATCTTTAGGGAGGGGGTAGCGGATTTTATCGTACTTTTAAGAGCCACAACGCATTAAAAAAATGGTTAACTCAGTTTTTTAGAAAAGTTGGAAAAAATGGGTATTCTTTGATCGCTTGTAAACATTTTTCTATTGGACCGTTTTTGTTTGTTTATCTTTTGATCGACGCATGATTTATTGTCTTTAATTTACTAAAGAAGTGTTATTCATAAAATATGGACCGTTTTAGAGTTTTAAGCGAAACACTGAAAAAAGTCCGAGGATTTTGAGGCCTTTTGCCTTTTGCAGGAATCGGCCTTTCTGATCGCTCCGCATACTGGACTATGTGTAACGGGCTGATATATAACGACCCCAAGTGAGAATCTACTGATCACCATGATCAATCGGCTGTGTCATCGGGTTAGACCGCCGACTGGGTAAGCATCTGTAGGGTAGTGGCAGCAGACTGACTAGCCGAAGGTAGGTCCTTCTCAAATTACCTATCTCGAAGCGAAACCAGGCCTGTTTTCTGCTACTCTTTAGAAGCTATACTCTTCTACTAACCCTGGCGTCTGGCTTCGTGGTGGGTGGGGAGCTAGATGGACGAATTTACACTGACATGGAGACTGATCAAAGCAATACACCGGAGAGAGCGTCCCAGGATACCCCTCAACTTACTTTACAGATAACAGAGCCTCAATAACGTACCAAACAACGCACATGTATCTACGGCGCTAAGCAGGAGAGAAGAACCCAAATGGGCCAACATTCACCTTGACCAAGAGGCAGGTTCCAAGAGCTAAAGCCGGCCAGGCGAGCAAACGGATAGGTGGAGAGAAAGAGAGGCAGAGGTCGGATGACTCAACAGACTCAATCGCCGACGAAGGAGGGCAGACTACAGCCCCAACCAAAGGTTGCCGAAAAGTAACTCAAAGTACCGATTAGATACCAATAACCCTCTGGGTAGGCTAACGGCTAACAAGGCGTATATGGTACAAAATCACCATCTTGTAGAGGATGAGACGGCACACCACATATTTTGTGAATGTTCGATCTAGTCCAACTGAAACGATCCATGTCCGGACATGGCTAAGATTGAAACCGGATCTACCCTTCCAGCATCCTTAGGTTCAACTTACGTGTGGGATGGCTTGAGTGACGTTGAGGGGTCGAGCGACTCTAGTCAGGGAAGTAGTACCTACAAGGGGTCCGAATTTGAGGCCTAGCTACGTTCCTATCGTAATCCAAAAGAGATGGTAAGAAAAAATGCCTAAGCCTAATCGCATTTTGCGCAGTAGATGAGTTATTATGTCAATTAGCTTTCCACTTACAAACATGACCCAGTTGAGATGAAGCAACGAACTAGAATGGGCAACGTTATCGCCGACTTTGTATAAATTACGATTATCTAATGGCACTCTTGGAGATACTGCATGTGATATGGCGAAAATTCCGTAGTGATAAGCTGTTGTGTCGTAAACGCTTTCCAGAATTTTTAACGATCAGAGAGATGGAAATGGAAATTTGTTTGATGAAGGGAATTTGGAAAAAAGCCGCAAAAAAATCAAAGACTATACTCATAGCCTTCAACAGGACAAAGCTACGATAGATAACACCACAAAGTGCCTTATACACCTCTTGAAGGTGCTTCCCTTCCAAAACATCTGGCGCGTTTTTCAAAGTTTTCGGCAACCTTTACACAGAAAGCCCTGAAACATGGATCAAGAAGGCATGAAACAGTGCAGAATACCTTTAAAGAGGGCCAATGGACTCTCGATAAAAGTCTCCAGGATGACGTATGTTGTTGTGACCCAGTCTGTAATGGTTCCTTTCCTTTAAGCACCAAAGTGGGGCAAAAATAACTAATTACAACATTTGAAAATAGGCCGGTTAGGTATGCGTAGAAATAATCCTTGTGTTTTATCGAGTCGAGTGCTTGCCTTAGGTCTCGTATCAATTAAATAGCTGTAATTAAATTTCTTATTTACAACGATGAACAGGTAGCTACATTCCGGAGGTATGTCTTACTTTTTAGGTGCTGAACCTCTACCCAAAGTTGTAAAACTCTTGAAGGCGCCGGAAGGACACGGCAGTATATACATAGTCTATGCGTGTAAAATGGTAGCGGCAAAATTAGACACGTTCCAACAAGTTTGGGCGGGTGGGGCCCCCTGTAGACTAAATGAAAGGGTGGAGAGACAGAAAATGCTGGGAGATATAGGAGGAAAGGCCAGTGCAGAGGTGTTCCCAGGAAGAAGAGCTGTTTCAATTGCGAGGAAGCGGGTGCACCTCAGGGACAAGTGTTAAAATGAGAAAAGATGTTACATTTGTGACACAGAAGGCCACTCTCCATGGACGATGCCGTGCCCCAAATTCAAGAATGCCATAAGATACGCGGAGCAGGGAAGGAGGACTAGAAGGCTAGTCAACAAGTAACAGCGCAGGAGGAAGCGCTCGCCTAACACCCGATCGACAGATTATTTCAGTGAAATCCAAGTGATAATATTTGTGTTCTAACTGTAACTGTTCTCCGTTTGTTTCATTATTTTATATTATACATATATCTTTTAACGTGGCATATCTAATGTACAGATTTCTTCACATAAGTCTAAATAAATCAAGAGTAGCCAGTGATCTAATGAGACACAATGCGAGAGGGAGAGGTCTATGAACATGGTGCTACAAAGGGAGGCAACAGTAATGTTGTTTGCGGAATCAAATAGAAAGACTTGTTTGTGGAAAATTTCTCATAAAAACATTTAAAACCTTGATAAATCGCATTAATTATACATTGTCGTGATAAAATTTGAATTATAAACATTGGAGGTAACCGTTCGAAAAAATTTCATCCTGAAAGCAGCGATTCACCGGTCTTTTTAAACTAATCCCGCTCTTGCAGCTGTAAAAATTTGCGCGGACGAGATGTACATTTTCACAGACGCTACATCTTCTTTCGATCACCGTGCGCTTTGCTATTTATATTATTGCCAAAACGGAACCAACGAAATTGCCCGATATTGCGTCACTTTTAAACCAATAGTAGACCAGCATCTTTTGTTTACATCGCAATTTTGTCTCGGCTAAAACGGAACCACCGAAATTTATATGCAAACTCTTTGCAATGTCGTTTCGTCCCTACCAAAATAAATGGGGATGTTCCAATTTCTCTTCTAGTATCATTTAGGTACGTTATCCTATTTAGAAAACACAAGTAAACTTCGTACTCTTTCAGTTAATCAAAGCACTTTCTCTTCATATCCGTTCGAAATGAAGTTAATTATCCTCAACATTTTGTATTAATTTTGAAGCACAAATTCGGGAATCTTCGAGCATCTTCTCCGAAAGTTCATTCCTGGGTGATACTAGTAACCGGGGTGATGCGATAAAAACTAAGTGTAGTAAATGGAGACACTTAAACTTCGAGATGAGTGCTTTATCTATGCAAACGTGCAAATATCGTGTTTTTCGCACCATTTGATAACTATCCAAAGTAGTTTTTACAAATTTTTTAAGTGCAGCTACTGACCTTTGATCGCGAATCTGTAAATTTGAATTGCCGCCGAGCAACTGTTTATGAGATTGAGACGTGTAAACAACTAGAAGGACAGTAGAGAGATCCCTAATTAGTGAATTAAAGGTAATGGTAGTCTCGGTAACTAGTCCAAAGGTTCGTGGTGATAAGGGTGGTTGACCTTGCCAGGAGCGAATCTGGGGGAACTTCTAAAAGAAAACTAGTTACTGGAAACGCGGTATAGGGAATGAAAGGAAACCATGGTTTTCAGAACGAATGTTTCAGCTCATGGCATACGAAATTAAAGGGGTTAGTTGATATCGCGGCCGATGGCGAGTAGAAGGTAGCCAAGGCCATTAATCCAGCGAAAGAAGTGGTAATAAACCAGGTGGAACCAGAAAAGAGAAGGGGAGATCAGTAGTGACAGAAACACCAATGCTGTGATCGATAAAAGAGAGGTTCGAGGGACCGTGCAGGAATACCACGGTATAGCGATTGTAGGGAAAGTGGGCGAAAGGGTTTATCCACGGTGACAAGGTGTACTCTGAACGGTTGAAAAAAGAGGAAATGCGTGTAGATTGGCGAGGAAGAAGTTGGGCACCCCACAAGGTGCTCGAGTACGAACGGTATGGGAGACACAGACAGTGTGCACCGCATGCTGGAGTCTACAGGGAGTAGAGAAAAATAACATACTGTATCGAGATAATTCTAAAAAGGGAGTCAAGGGAGAGGAGGAGAAGATACCCCGAAGAAGACTGGTTAATAGCCTTCAACACGAGTTGGAATTAGAGAAAAGGGGTTTAGTGGGGAGGTTCCACACTTCTCGACGAAGGGAGAGTGTAAATTACCATTCCGTAATTCCACATGATGAAACTTGAAATTTGACATTAAGTGTTGCGCAGGCTGTTACAGGACTAAGGGCCGAAAATGGGTGGCCGAAACAGCTTCTCTGGGAAATGACGATCGAGATTGGTCCCTCTGATGTTGGCCTCTGGTAGAATTATGAACAAAATCATTCAACCAAAATTGTGCAGTCACGATTAGACAAAAATGCTGTTGAGATATGCACAGATAGTCGCAGTGCTCTGCTTTATATACGTGCAAACGTATCTATGATTCTTATCGAGTGCAAAGCACTCGATACAAACTAAAAGCTAAGTGACAACAAGCAGGATAACGCTTGAAAACACATTTCACGGCTATTAACCGATTGCATCTTGTTCGCGAACTGGAACGCGCGACTAGAAGGACTAGATTTTTGCAATTGATTACCGCACCCAAACAAATTCTAGTCCAGTTAATATAGCCCTTATTAACTTCAGGTTAAGGGCTCTTCAGAAGGCGGCCTCCAATTCTTGTAGTGTATGGGAGGGTGTTGGATTGTTGTCTAGCCCAAATGACATTCGATTTAAACGAATTACCTAATCAAATTCTAAGATAATAATGAAAACTAGAACAATGCGATAACACCCTGACTACGCACCTTGACCATCTCGAAATGCGATTATCTTACACTATTTGTCACCAATCCACGACCTCGGCCACTACGCTTTACGAGAAACTCGTATGCCGAAAGCTACTCATGGTGAGGGAATCCAAGATACCAGAGACTTCTCCAAAACGCGAGAGATAAAAACGACAAACAACACCCAGCTTTGCTTGTAAACTCAATGGAATGTTTCTTATCATGAAAATGATTGAACTTGATCTGGAGTGCCTTAGATAAGGTACGTATATAAGAAGACCTTTACCTACCTTTTGTACCTTAATTCAAAATGACTCTTGCTGTAAAGGGAGAATACCTGAATACGGGGTTTGTGCCTGACTGTACCATTGACGTTAAAAGGTAGGCGCGTTAAATTCTCTCCGTCCTTTCATAGACGATTTACTTCCAGACGCGAGGCGAAGGAGAATGAGAGCAGAGGACTGTACGACCCCTACGCCCACCGCAAAGTTTCACATCCCACAACGTAAGTACGCCACATACCTCGTTAACATTCGCTAATGAGTCGTTTCAGAAACTGGGAGACCCTAATTCATCTTCTCAAAGGAAGCTGTGGCACAGGCATACTGGCGATGCCAAAGGCGATCAGCAACTCTGGGTACGTGATCGGAACAATCGGCACCTTCGCCATAGGATTCATTTGCACATACTGTATACACCTGCTGATAAACTGCGAGTACGAGCTCTGCAAGAGGAGAAAGGTTCCTAGCTTGACCTACCCAGGAATCGCAGAGGAGGCACTAGCCGAAGGTCCAAAACCGTTACGCAAACTCGCATCGTACGCAGGGTAAGTTGTCAAAAACCAATTTCGATTAACCTGACAAAACTCTTAGGCACTTCGTGAACGTCTTCTTACTAATCTACCAGTTCGGAACGTGTTGCGTTTACATTGTCTTCATCGGCGTGAACATCCAGGCCGTTGCCAACCAGTACGTGACCGAAATCGCGGTCGAGTACTACATGTTGATGATCCTACTGCCGCTGATCCTGGTGAACTGGATACGCAACCTGAAAACGCTGGCCCCTCTTTCGACCTTTGCGAATTTCATAACGGTCGGAAGCTTCGCAATCGTTCTGTACTACCTCTTCACGACCGGGTTCACGTTTGAGGATCGCGAAGCTGTCGCCAACGTGAAAACCCTCCCACTTTTCTTCGGCACGGTCCTCTTCTCGCTCGAAGCGATCGGCGTGGTAAGTACCTAATCGAAATAATTGAATGACTCTAATTTTGTGATGCCCAAGATTATACCATTGGAAAACGAAATGAAGTCTCCCAAATCGTTTGGAAGCGCTTTCGGGGTACTCAACGTAGGAATGGGCTCTATTGTGCTGCTGTACGCGGTGATCGGCCTCTTGGGCTACTTGACTTATGGTTCCTCGGTGGAAGGATCCATCACGTTAAGCTTGCCAAAGGAAGATGTGTAAGTACTATATGAAGACAGTGGGATGGCTGTTACATTCATTTTTAGGGCGGCTCAAGTTTGTAAACTAGCATTAGCACTTGCTATGTTCCTCACCTATACCGTACAGTACTACGTTGCCATCGACATCACGTGGACCCAATATTTGGGTACCTTGTTTGAGGATAACCGGAGGAAGAGGGTGTACGAGTACGGGGCTAGAACGATACTGGTTTTACTGACATGTGAGTAGTACGGGATGGAGAATGTGCGTTGCTAACTAACGTTTATTACAGTCGTTCTGGCAGTATCAGTACCAGCACTAGATCTGTTCATCTCATTTTTTGGAGCTTTATCTCTTTCCTTAGTCGGAATTGCCGTACCGGCAATGATCGAAACCTGCACGTTTTGGTATCATAGGCAAGGGTGGCGTTTTTACTTCATGGTGATAACAAATGTGTCGCTAATCGCGTTTAGCCTTTTAGGATTGGTCGCCGGAACGTTTACTAGTTTAAGTGAAATTATTTATACTTTCTCGAATAAAAGTTGAAAAAAAAAACTGTCCTTAAACTGTAATCCCCTGACATGTGAAGTTTTTCGGGAAACCTGAAAACCCTCAGGCTCACTAATCATTACTAGTTCGATGTATAGGTCTAGGGTCGATAGTCGTCTTGGGATCACGTTCTCAGTGAATGTGGTACCTACTTAACTGGATATCATCAGTTTGATGAGTAACGAATTATAAGATGCTTAATGGAATCTTGAAAAATTAATGGGAACGTGAGTGAAGTTCAAAAACGTCTTGAAAATAACTCGAGAATATTGCAGGTTACTGAAGAAAAATTTAACGAGGAGACGTTGAAGAAGAAATTTAGGGAAAGTTGAACTTGGAGAGAACTTGAGAGCGATTTATGGGAAAATTACGAATCAGAAAACATGAGGAGAAATTCAATGACTAGATATGAGAGAGGCTCTAGCGTCGAGTAATTTGGGACTTGAGCGAGTGAGATTTTGAAAGGAATTGAAGAAGAGAACTTTAGAACTTAAGAGGAAACTGAAATATAAAGGGAATTTGAAAGAGATACTTCAAAGTTTAAGCGAACCTGAGATAAATTGGAAGGGAACAAAGGAAGAACTGAGGAATAGAATTTAATAAGAGCATGAAAGGAAATTAAGCGAAATTTCAGCAAAAAAAATGAATCATCCCCGGACATGAACCCCCGAGTGACAATAACCCCCATATATAACCCTTGGAGAGTGAGTTTGCTTAGAAAAGGATCCACATGAGTGTAAATCATCAAACTATAGAAAATGCCAGGGGGGGGGGGTTATTGTCTTCCGAGTGTTTCTGTCGGGGAGTAATCGTCTCTCGGGAGTTAATGTAAAGAGGTTTTTGTGAAAATAAAGGAGAACCTGGGACTAATTTGATGGAAGTTAAAGAAGGGAAAGATGAGATGCGTAAAAAGAAATTAAGATGCTTGAGAGGAAATTGAAACAAGAAGAAGGTGAACGTATAGAAAAAAAATTGAGGAGAACTTGGGAAGAATTTTATGGGAGCTGATGGAGAATTGAAGAAAAAATTAAAACTGAACGGCCAAAAGATTGGAAATTGGTGCACTTGAAAAGATTTTTTTCCTAAAATTATTATTATCAATATTCCATACCCCCCAGACCCTCGGAGCTGCGTTTACCATCCATCTAAGAGCACTCGAGACAGTTTTAAAAAATACCATCAACCTTCCCTTTCTTGAATAGTAATCTATGAGTTCAATGATCCCTTCCCCCAGCATACGAAGGTTGCGTTTTTATGAATACATGAATACTTCGATGATGATGATTGCATGGAAGGAAGATTCTTAAGGTCTACTTTAGTGACCATTGGTTGTCGATTGGTTGTTCTGTGTCCCCCACACCCTTCGATACGACGTTCTCTTGCAAAACGTTCAGCCTTAAGGACGGTCGGAAAGATTAAAAGAAATACCTCCTACTTTTCTTTTCAAATAGTCATAGTCATAGAATCAGTACTCTCAGAAAAGAGGCTTTCCCTACAATGATTCAACATGAAAACGTTTGTATGCTCATACGGACGAATTCTTTGTGCCCTGGGGGATATTCCATACCCCATAGCCCCTCTGTACTGTGTTTACCCTCAAAACGTTTAACCCTAAGGATGTTCGGAATAGTTTTAAAAACTTCCATAAAGGTTTTCATTTTTTGAAGAGTATTCAAGGGGTGATGGGAGGGGGGGGGGGGGAGGTTGTAGGTATGCATGGGTATGCAATATCCTCCAGTACACAAAAAGTTCATTCGCATGAGTATACAAATGTTTTCATGTTGATAATGATAATTGTAAGAAAAAGGTCATTGCATTTCTCCTTACTGAGGGTATCGATTCTATAACCTATACTTCGCCACTTGAATACTGTTCAAAAAAGGAAAAGTTTGGTGATGTGGTGTGATTTTAAAAATCCTCTTTCCCTACAATCAGCACCATGAAGAGATTCTTATATTCATATCAATACAATCTTTTGAGGCCCGAAAAATAAATTGTCTCAGATCGACCCGGAAAAAAAATTTTCTTATAGAATGTGGCCTGTAGAATCCATAATTTCAAACAGTTCCAAGATTGGGCTACTAGTTAAAAAGTTACAGCCCTTTGAATTTTCTTTCGAAATTGGTTTCTAGTCTATAACTTTTGATTGAGAAGTCTGATCGAAAAAGTACGAATTGTTTGGGATTCTACGCACCAAAATTAATAAGAAAAAGTGTTTTCCCGAGAAATTTTGGTGCAGTCGATTTTTGGTAAAAAAGGAAGGTTATACACTGCCTTTTTTGAGGCCCGAAAAAAAAATTGTCTCAGATCGACCCGGAAAAAAAATTTTCTTATAGAATGTGGCCTGTAGAATCTATAATTTCAAACAGTTCCAAGATTGGGCTACTAGTTCAAAAGTTACAGCCCTTTGAATTTTCTTTCGAAATTAGTTTCTAGTCCATAACTTTTGATTGAGAAGTCTAATCGAAAAAGTACGAATTGTTTTGGATTATAAGCACCAAAATTAATAAGAAAAGTGTTTTCCCGAGAAATTTTGGTGTAGTCGATTTTTGGTAAAAAAGGAAGGTTATACACTGCCTTTTTTTGAGGCCCGAAAAATAAATTGTCTCAGATCGACCCGGAAAAGAAATTTTCTTATAGAATGTGGTCTGTAGAATCCATAATTTCAAACAGTTCCAAGATTGGGCTATTACTTCAAAAGTTACAGCCCTTTGAATTTTCTTTCGAAATTGGTTTCTAGTCCATAACTTCTATTATACGCAACAAAATTAATAAGAAAAAAATGTTTTCCCTAGAAATTTTGGAGTAGTCGATTTTTGGTAAAAAAGGAAGGTTGAGTATTCAAATACCTTGCGAAGTATTCGAATACTGCATATTTGTGAAAGTATTTGAGTTACTGCTTCCATAAAAATATTTAATTACAAAGTATTTGAATACTTTAAAAGATTTGAATACTAAAAAGTATTTACAAAATCGAATACCGCCCAGCAGGCTCTGGTTACCAGAAGGTGAAATGTCGTCAGATAACCTCTTCTGAATCTTAAAGAATTCTCTAGAAAGCATTCTAACAGCCTTAACAATTCAGAGAAACATTCCTTGGGTTTTAAATATCTAATATAGTAAGAAAGCTTTTCAGGAAACGTAAAAACCTCTTTGAAGGTCTTAAAAATATTTTTACATAAACCTCTCGCCAGGAAAGATTGCCGGTCAGAGAACACTTGATCCCGGTCTACACAATCTATGTTTCTCTAAAGATGTGAGCGACTTCCGGGAGAGTATCGTGTCAATGTTGAACAAAAAGACTTTTGGTTTAACATTGGCACGATCCTACTCCGGAAGTCGCTCGGATCTTAAGAAAAACATAGATTGTAAATCGACACACGGTGTGCTGTGACCGGCAATCTTTCCTGGCGGGAGTTATAGTGTCCTTAATAAACTGCCAAAAGTTGGTTATCAACCCTTTAGCAATCTTTATAGAAATTTTGAAATTTCTTAGGAACTGTAAAATCTTTTTAAACTTTTTGGGAGCATAGAGAGCTCTGTATGATGGTGACGTGGGGAAACGTTCTACGTAGTAATGTACTACGTTACCTAGTTCGATTATCAGGCTACGATAATTAATTACGCACAACATAATATTTGAAACACTACAAAGTAAAGAATTCTAGAACGCGCCGATCCTCGAGCTTGGCACCAAACCAGTTTTCCACTCAATGAGCCATGGAAAAAAACGAACGTGGTGGAGTATTCCTAATCACCTGAATTATCTTATAGCGATAATATTTTTATCAATTTAACGAAGCCACTTACTAGTTTTCTCCTTTTGCCCAAAATGAGCGTCGCTGTAAAGAAAGAGTACCAGAATTCCGCTTTTATGCCCGATTGTGACATCGAAATTAAAGGGTAAGCGATGGAACCTAACCTTTCTCTCTTAGACCGATTACTTTTAGTTGTAATTCGCAGGAAAATGAGAGAAAAGACTACGACCCATACGCGCATCGAAATGTCGCACATCCAACCACGTAAGTCCGACATTCATCTCTTCCACATTCACCAACGGATCGTTTCAGAAACTGGGAGACCTTAATCCATCTCCTCAAAGGAAGCTGCGGTACAGGCATCCTCGCGATGCCAAAGGCGATTAGTCACTCGGGTTACGTTCTTGGAACCGTCGCCACATTTGCCATAGGATTGATCTGCACTTACTGTATACATCTGCTGCTAAAGTGCGAGTACGAGCTGTGCAAGAGGAGGAAGATTCCAAGCTTGACCTACCCTGGAATCGCCGAGGAGGCTCTCGGCGAAGGGCCAAAGTTTATGCGCAAACTCGCACCATACTCAGGGTAAGTTCCCAAAATTCTATTTCGATGACCGTCACAATATCTTCAGCCACTTCGTCAACGTATTCCTGCTGATCTACCAGTTCGGAATTTGTTGCGTCTACATTGTCTTCATCGGCGTGAACATCCAAGCCGTCGCCAACCAGTACGTGACCCCGATCGCGGTCGAGTACTACATGCTGATGATCCTACTGCCGCTGATCCTGGTGAACTGGATACGCAACCTGAAGATGCTCGCGCCCCTTTCGACATTTGCGAATATCATAACGGTCGGAAGCTTCGGAATTGTTCTCTACTACATCTTTACGAAGGGGTTTACGTTTGAAGGACGCGAACCGGTCGCCGACGTAAAGACTCTCCCGCTGTTCTTCGGTACGGTTTTGTTCTCGCTCGAAGCAATCGGTGTGGTAAGTACCCAAGAAAATTGACTGAGGGACTCTGAAACCCTGTGACTAATAAGGTTATGCCGTTGCAAAATGAAATGAAAACGCCTAAATCGTTTGGAAGCACTTTCGGGGTACTCAACCTAGGTTTAGGTATCATAGTGGTACTGTATGCGGTGATCGGTTTCTTCGGTTACTTGGCGTATGGACCTTCGGTGGAGGGGTCTATTACATTAAGCCTGCCCAAGGAAGATTTGTAAGCGTCCGGTGAAGAAAAGTGTTAGCGACTCACATTTACTTTTAGGGCGGCTCAAGTTTGCAAACTGGCATTAGCCGTTGCCATGTTCCTCACCTACACTGTACAGTACTATGTTGCCGTCGATATTGCCTGGACACAATACTTAAGTACCAAGTTTGCGAACAACAAAAGATCGAGGATTTACGAGTACACGTTGAGAACGCTGCTAGTTTTACTAACATGTAAGTAGTACAAGTTAAAGGACGAAAATAAATTACCTTTGTTACCTACAGTCGTCTTGGCGGTATCGGTACCAGCACTAGATCTCTTCATTTCATTTTTTGGAGCCCTTTCTCTATCGATAGTCGGAATTTCAGTGCCGGTAATTGTGGAAACCTGCACGTTTTGGTACCAAAGGCGAGGGTGGAGGTTTTACTTGATGGTTGTAATAAACTCGTTGCTGGTAGCGTTCAGCCTTTTAGGATTGGTAGCTGGCACGTTTACTAGCATAAATGAAATTGTTCATACGTTTTCAAATAAAAGTTAAATAAACTGTGTTCTCGATCCCTTAATCTAGGCAGGCAGTATAAGTCGAGGTATAAGTGTAGTACAAGGATAATGAAAAGGCCGTCAGAAACATATAATAGAAGTGTGAAGGATGGAGGATGTAATGGAAGAAGAGGCTATGAAAAGGAAGCACAAAGAAAAGTACACGGAATGTAAAGAAGCCATAGAATGAGAAAGAGAAAAGAAGCGAGAAAAGAGGAAACGAGAAAAAACTAGATATGAGGAACAGAGGCATGGTGACGTGAAAAAGGCAGGTCGTGAAGGAATGTGAAGTGGACGTGAAAGAATAGCGACGAAGAAGTGAAGAACACCCCCTTCGCAGCTCGTTAGCATTTAATTCATAAGAGGAGCGCGATCATGAAGCACTTATGCACATTCTGCGTAACCCCTTTCTTTCGCAAGTAGGTTCAGAGACCGTTCCTCACAATAACGGATAGGACTTCAGCGTGAGTTGCTTCACCCTCCCCGGTTCCAGATAATTGTCCCCAAGGAGATGATGTCTGTGTCTGATCAATGCGTCACAGTGACAGACCACATCTGCCTCGCCATAGAACCTGCACGTGGGCTCTGCTACAAGCCAAATATTGTACCGGTGATAGTTCACCCCGTAGGGACCCCGGCAGTGCTTGCATTCAGTTTTAGAAGCTTTTAGAAGATTCGCCAAGGGACCGCGGCCATGTTAAAAAGGCCCCAGACTGGCTGAGCCCGGTTGCTTTTTGGCACTGAGCCTGGAATTGACTGGTCACACAGTATTTAACCTTGACCCTGAAAACGGATGGAGCAATTCCTGTCCCTCTTGGTCTGGCCCTTGAACAGGTTTGCACCCAAATATACTTTTTCTTATTAATTTTGGTGCGTAGAATCCAAAATGATTCGTACTTTTTCGATTAGAACTCTCAATCAAAATTTATGGACTAGAAACCAATTTCGACAAAAAATTCAAAGGGCTGTAACTTTTGAGAGGTGCCCCCGCAGAAGTTCTTAATTTGTTCTATACTACTTTACGAATGGCAAGCGCGCGATGCTATGTGACGTCACAATGTCAAACAAGGGACCCCCTTAATATACAAACCTGTTGCATAATGACGCGCAACCGTAGGGCTTGAGAGAAGGTGCCGTTGCATACAATATCCAATCACACATTTTTAGTTTTTTTAGGGGAATTTTTTTCTAAAATTTATGTGATAGTTTTGTCGGTCTGTCCGTCCGTCTGTTTCTCGTCTATCTCGGGAACAAAAAGAGCTGTCGAACCTTTTCCAATCGATTTATACGAGTGCAAAGATCAGTACTGTTGAATATGAGCCGGACTAAAAGTCGTGTTTCCGAATGTGAGCCGAGTGTCAAACAATCGTATGTGATTCTTTGTAACCACTTTCTCTGTCATTTGTATTGTTGGAATATAATTATAATCAAGTTTGATATTCATACAGCGCCAGCTTAGTATATAAGTAATTTTGATATACTTATGTCAAAAATTAATTCAAGAAATGTGTCATTGTAAGTTTATATTAAAACTGATTTTCGTGTTGACTGATTAAAAACTTTCATCGAACTCATTCTGCTAATATTCTTACAGGTTATGGGCCCAGATTATGAAATGCGTGTGTGCGTTTTAGTGTAAATCGATAGAAAAATAAGTTAGTACGAAAGTCAACGTTATACTTCAGAGAAGTGTTAAGTTCAGAAAACTTGTATAAAATGGAAGAAAACTCGAGTATATTCTTAGGATTCGAGAAATTAGTCGGCAGGGAGAACTTTAACAATTGGAAATTTGGGATGAAAATGGCGCTTATGCATGAAGGTCTTTGGGGATGCATAGAAGGCTATCCAGAGGATGACACAACCAAAGAAAACGGTAAACAAAGGTTAGAACAGAAAGCTCTAGCCAAAATATGTTTGGTGGTACAACCGTGCACTTACCCACATGTCCGTAATGCTCGATCTGCGAAGGAAGCTTGGCAAAATTTATCAAAGGCTTATGAAGATACGGGATTGTCAAGGAGATTGAGTTTGATCAGGCAGTTACTAAGAATTAAGTTAGAAGAATATAAAACTATGGAGACATATTATGTAAATGAGGGAATGTCACTAGCTCAAAAGTTACAAGATATGCAACATCGGTGGATGATGAGTTTTTGAATACGATCCCATGGTCATAGCAATTGAAAATTGTGTTGAATCGATTACAAGTGATTTCGTAAAAGCTAAATTACTTCAAGATGATAAATATAACAAGGAAAATCATGAAGTTGCGTTGTTATCAAATAAAAAGACATGGAAGAAAGGTAGTAAATCGGGAGTAAGATGTTATTCGTGTGGAGGCATGGGACATTATAAAAATCAGTGTTCCTATAAGAGCTCAAATTCAGAAGAAAATAAAATGTCTAATGAGAGAAAGATTAAGTACCAAGAGGATAAAAAGGATCATTTCAAATCCGAGAAGGCATTGCAGATTTCTGTTACTAAAGACAGTGCCCAATATTCCCAGAAGTGGTACATTGACTCTGACAACACACATGACATTTGAAAGGGATTGTCTTGAAGATTTTGAAAATATGATAGATTCCAAGATTGTAGTTGCTAACAATCAAAGGATATCTGGTGCAGGTATTGGAAACGCTCAAGTGCATACCAAGGCAGGTACCAAAACAATATCCAAGATCGTCTATGTTCCAGAATTAGGGGCTAACTTACTGTCGGTGAGCAAAATGGTAGAAAAGGGACATGTTGTGGTGCTTAATCAAGACAAATTTGTTATTTAAGATAATGAAAAATTCCAGGTCAAAGGAGAGGTTGTGGCTACTGTGACCATGAACGGTGGGCTCTACGAGTTGGACGTTTTGGAGCAGCAGAGTTTGCTTACTGTGGCAAATTCAAATTCCGAAGAATTGTGGCACAAGAGTCTAGGCCATCTCAATCGAGTTAGTATGCAACTATTGAAAAATGCAATGGCCGATGGCATAATGTACGGCAATGGAAAAGGGGACCAATGTCAAAGGAAAGCAGGCGAGGCAACCGTTTAATAAGACAGGAGGTAAGCGAGCTACAGATCTTTTAGAATTAGTACACACAGATTTATGTGGACCTATGCCAGTTTCCTCTTGGAGTGGGGCAAGATACATTTTTGTACTAATTGATGATTATACAAGAAAAGTATTTGTATATTTTTTGAAATCTAAAAGTCAAGTCCTAGATCGTTTTAAACAATTTCAAATATTTGTTGAGAATCAAACGGGTAAGAGAATTAAGAAGGTTAGAAGTGACAATGAAACTGAGTATGTCAATGAAGGTTTCACAAACTACTTCAAAAGGAAAGGCATTGATCATCAAACCAGTGTCACTTACACACCTCAACAAAATGGTGTAGCAGAGAGGACGATAGTAGAAAAAGCTAGATGTATGTTGCATGAGGCAAATCTAGATCAAAAGGTGTGGGCTGAAGCTGTCAACACCGCAGTATATTTGAAGAATAGATCACCACACAAAGCCGTAAAAGGATGACGCCAAAAGAAAAATGGTCAGGATTGAGAATTAATCTCGAACACTTAAAAGTTTTTGGCTGTATCGCAACAGGCTCACATACCGCAACAATTGAGAAAGAAATTCGATCCAAAGAGCAAGGAATATGTGTTCGTGGGTTACGATGAACATACTAAAGCTTACAGACTGTTTGATATTGAAAAACCAGGTCACATAATCAAATCTAGAGATGCCGTTTTCTTTGAAAATCAATTTCAATCGAGAAAAAGAATTATTCGGCTGGATACTTTTGAATTGAAACCTTTTGGCCCACGACCTAAAACTGATATTATATATAAACATTTTTCATTTCGGGAAGCTTTGCAACGACTGATTTGGAATTATCACTCGAAAAATAAACACTTTACTTTGGCTGACTTACTAAGGGACGCGCGGGAAAATTTTGATTTTGATAAGGGGAAAACTACTTTGTATAACATTCTAAAATCCATGGGTTATAAATACAAACACGTAAATGGACGGAAAATTCTCTGTGAATAAAAACATGTTGTTGCGTCCAAAATTACATTTTTGAGGAAATTCTTGCAATACCAAAATTCAAGTGAAAATATAACATTCGTGTATCTGGACGAAACTTCGATTTTTCAAAATGGATCCAGCGTCCGAAAATGGGTACACGATTCTAAAATTAAAAGTAATCCGTCTAAAATTAAATCAGAAGGGAAAAGTTTTACTGTTTTGTGTGCGGGGTCTCGTTTTGGATTTTTGGAAGGGTGTAGGTAATCTATTACAAACTTCAAATAGTAACGATAGGGATTATCACAAAACTATGAACGGGGAGATTTTTCAAAATTGAGTGGTTAATCAATTACTTGGCATCAAAATTTTTGTTTATGACATGGAAAATGAATGGGAACACCAAACTCTTCAAAGTTCCAGAATTTAAGGAAAGATTCAAGGATTTCATCCAGAAAGAACTCACCACATAACAAGCGGAGACATGGAAAGGAATCATAATCCTCACCACGAACTCAGCAGGGGAAACACCAGTTAACACCCAGAAGAAGAAATGCGAGAGTAAGACACCATCAGGCAGCTGCTCTATAAGACTAAAATGTTCACCAAAGAATAGTAAGCTACCCGCCAGAAATAAGATTAACAGAAATGTACTAATCATCAAACAGCACAGACGGAAAACAAAAGACCCAAGGAAGAACATTCCAATGGCACCGTGGAAGCAAGAACTACACTCAAGCGCAGTTAGGTATCAATGCGGTCGTTGAGGGCATCTCGGGTATAATGGTACTGACTTATCGAGCAGTGGTTATCTACTGAGGGTCTACACCACAGATCTCCCAAAGCTGATTCAGTCCAGCCCCTGGTCCAGCCCCAAACTAAATCTGCTCGAAGTTTATACCAGCATATCGGCATTTAAATGTGGAAGTGTTTAGTTCATATAGAGCACCACCAGCAACCTGCTATTACTAAATAAGTTCATTATATAACAGCCTTTTGAAATTAATAATGTTCATTTGAGCCAATTGCCTACTCAATAAAGTATGAAACTTATTGAGCAAGTCGTTTCTCATGAAATTTATACGTATTGACCTATAACAAAATTACCACAAAATCCAAAACTAAATCTACCAACTAGGTTTTGCACCTTGACAGGAAATTATCATTTTGTATAAAATGGAAATAACCTAATGCGTGACAGCATATACACAGTGAATTTCATCACCCTAACATGGTCTACTACTGGGACAATAACTATTGAACGGAGTATATTATGTTCCTACCGTAACTACTTCAACTGTTCGTAAGATATTTACTTCGTGCTAAGTACCAGAGTCATCATGAATAATTAAACATTTACCGCCCAAAAGTAAACATTTTATGCATTTTGCACTTTACCATAGCTTGTTAGGTAATCACGTTTATTTGCATTTTTCGATACTTGGATAATTAGACAATTTTACCTTTAGAAAATTACTGCATCTGCTTCCAATCTTCTCCACCACACACAAATACAATTAGACGTAATTGTGGCATAAGTGATTTCGTGTTGCCACCACTTTGGAAAATGATTACCCCATCAAGGTAACACTATACACGAATTTTGCAGTCACCTCCACATCCCTTACATTGTTTTTGGCAAAATCTGTAAACGCTCCAACCCCCCTGTCTTTTGCTAGTGGAAATTGTAATTGCAAACCACCCCCTAACGATGACCCACTAAGCTGTTGACATGGCGAGTTATGTTCTTGTTTTCCCGTTACAATGTCCAAATTAAGTCATGGTACCTTTCCAATTTTACGTCAACTGATGACGTAGGGAATAATTTTCGCATTAAACTAATACGCCCATTAATCTTTACATTTCTCGCTCTGTGCGAAAGATCTGAAGGACTGGGATTTCCAGGGAGCAACAGACGAAGTGGAAAGTACCAGGCGTAAGGCCTGTACGAAATTTTTTATAAGCGTTTACGCAAGTCACTAGTAAATCCATGTTTTATTCATGAGATCAGTGAATATTTTATGTAGCCATAAATTTAACATTTATCAAAACCTATACCGATTCTTATGGTTATGACGTAATGTTTGTAAATAAAGTATAATTCGCAAAGCGTCCAAAAGAAAATGGTACCTCGGGATTTCCTTCAGTAGATTTGGGGCCGCTCAGTGGCAATCGTCTCAGTCTAGTCTGTAGTGCCGTGCGTTACTCATCACAGTGTTGTCAATATTTCCCACACCAAAAGGTAATTATCTTTAATGATTATTTAAATTTCCCACGCCAATTCCGTGGCGCTCATTGTCATCAGGAAGCAATGATATACCCAAATAAGTGTTTTTACCTATTAATTAATTACGTAACACGGAACCATCAGAACTGATAGTTCTTAGGAAAAATTCCAAGGCTTTTTCGACTAAGTCACCAAATTTTCTTGGTAACTCCGGTCCTCGCAAATTATTTTCGACGCGACTGACCGTTTAAATTTTTTTTGCGAAAAATCGGCCCGTCGCCACCGACACGAAAAAGTGGAATTTGCAAATATCGAGCGGTAGTTAATTACAGGGGAGCGCGAAATCTCGGTTGCGAGGTCATTTTGTACGATCGTACGATCCTCCGTAAACAACTTTTTTTTGTCCATCGCCCATCATCTCTCTTCCGCGCCGACGACGGAACCCACCACGTAGAAAGTTGAAGAGTTAATTACGTCTCATTGGCAATTCCATCGCGTATCGATAGCGGACCATAAACATTTGCACTCGCCATCTTAGTCTAGTTTGAACAATTAATTGCTGAAGATTGAGAAGAACTTGCGGAGAGGGTTGAAGTGGTACAGATCGTCAAAAAATGCAGTTATCACATGAACAGAATGCAAGCTTAACTACCTAATTGTATTATTTCAAGGCATCTATGCATGCTAGGATTGCCAGCTGCAATTAAAACTCGATTTGTTATAGTCATTGTTGATTAAACTATTTGTCATTTCATCAAGATCAACAATTCAATTCTTTTTCTTCCATGCTCACGTTTGTTGGAGCTTCGGATTAGGTAAACACAAAATGGATGGCGGTGCTTCCAATTGCCCTTATCTCTTGTCTTAGGAATTCTCCAAGGTGTATCTTAAGACTAGATTCCACTTACTGTCTTTGGGGTTATAAGATTTGCAAGCTCAAGCTCTCGATTTTGTTTTAAATATTTTAGCTTCAGGGATTTGACTTTTGGACTTTAAGTTTCCACCCCTCACGATTTCTTCAAAATGATGACAAATTTGGCAGAATGCTTAATAGCAAAAAAGTTCCTTTCCTACTGCCGCGCAAAAGCTGACGGCAACAGAGGCTCTTAAATTCGCGATCGGACTGGTGTCATCTTCAAAGACCTGGCAGCTAGAAGGAAGCCCACAAATTGTGGGTGATTCAGATTAATTACAAAAATCCTTAAATTTCAAATGAAATTACGATAAAGTAGCATCTCAGAGTACCACAAAATTGACAAATTCGTTGTTGAGTGCATATAACAACCTGTTTCACTATGTACATCACTTGATTCTAGTCATTTTTTAATGTAAAAGGTACCTATGATAGCACAAAATTACCACAAAATACTAAACAACAGGTCTTCCGAGTACTGGAGGGGATTTGACGTATGAAATATACTCCCACAGTACCCTCAGGAGAGAAGGACTCGGTACTTATTACCCCTATACCACTCTCGTAGAATGCTTTGGGAAAACATATCGGAATCCACATACGATAATGCTACCCCTTCCCCCCCAATCACTTAAGTTTTCAAGACACTTATGGTACTTTGGGAAGGGACAGCCGAATCTTCCCCCTCTTTAGAAGTATTCCATATTCTACAGGATCGTGGTTCAGAGTTCGATAGTATTTTCTTGAAAATTATAATGTGAGTTCAATGACTAAATAGTGTAGGAGAAGATTGCAGCACCGTAAGGTCTGAAATGACCCCTAGTAAATGAACATTCTATTACCCAGTAAAAGATTGCCTGATAATTCTTGCTCTATTAACTCTCGCACCTTCATGGAACCCATTGGGAAAAGGTAAACGAATCTTCTTGTATACTAAAGGGTATTCCATATCGCCCTTCGTGTATACTGTGTATATTCGTCTACTGGAGGGTATTTAACTTTCCACCCCTCACGACTTCTTTAAAATGTGGTTGTCAGTTTTGACTGAACCTTTAAAAACAAAAAATTTCCCTTCTACATAGCTCGAAAAATTTGACGGAAACAAAGGCTTAAATTCGCGTTCGGGGTGGTGACATATCTAAAGTTCTGACAGCTAAGGGGCGGACGTCTACAAAATTAGGCGTTCACAAACATTCAAATTCTGAACAATTCAGATAAATTAAAAGGACTTCCCCAAATTCAAAGGACAATTCCGAAAAAAGGAATAGAGACCAATAATACATGCAAAATCAAACAGTAGGTCCTTCAAATAAAGCAAAAGTAGCATCTCGAGTACGACAAAATTGTTAATTTCGTTGTTACCCCTGGGACTTTCATTTATTTTATTTATTTATTTATTTATTTATTGTCCCTCTTGTTCTAGGCCCTCAACAGGCTTACGCCCAATTACAGAGTGACCCGCATAATGCTTTTTTTAGAGGTGCCCCTGCAGAAGGTCTTAAGTTGATCTATACTACTCCGGTATTTACCTTACGAATTAGGAAAACTGCAGGAAAACCTAATTCGGAGTAGCTCGAAACTGGTCTAAGGAAATTCCCATCTCTGCCGCAGATGAAAAATTCACCTCAAACCAGGTTTGAACACCCGACCTCCGGATTTATACCCCAACGCTCTATCACTGAGCTATAGTGCCGGTTATGATTCATGGAACCCTTTCGGAAAAGGTAAACGAATCTTCGTGTGTACCCCCCAGACCACCCGGTACTACGTTTCCCCACAAAAACGCCCACTCATTAAAACTCTCATGATAGTTTTGGGGAAAGGACAGCCGAGTCTTCCTTTCTTGAGAAGTATTCCATAATCTACAAGATCGTGGCTCAAAGTTCGATAGCCTTTTTTTGAAAATTATCGTGTGAGTGCAAATACGAAACACTGTAGGGTAGATGTAGCCCCGAGGGGTTTGCCCCCAAGTCCATACCCCCCAATAGACGAACCTTCGATTATCCAGTAAAAGATGGCATTATAATTCTTGCTCTACTATCCGGGGGGGAAAAAAGGAGGGGGGTGTCTTAGCCAGTAAAAGATTACTTGCTTTATGATCCACAGAAGAGGATCTGATAATTTTCCCTCCCAAGAGATAAACTTTTACGGGGGAGACTCTTACCGGGGGGTATGAAAAACCGCCCAGGATACTACATGCAGTGGTTCCATCATCATAGCCATGGCTGAGGGTTAGAGGATGGTTTGAAATCCTCGCAATGTTTTCAGATCATTGCTGGGGGGTATTCCACATCCCCCAGATCCACCGGTCATATGTCCTGTGGAATACTACTTTGCAGAAGAAGATCTGATAATTTTCCCAACCCACAAAGTGTTACGAGTCCCAAGAGATAAACTTTTTGCGGTGGAAACTCTTACCGGGTGGTATGAAAAACCCCCAGGATACTACATGCAGTGGCTCCATCATCATAGTCTTTTCTTGAAAATTATCGTGTGAGTGCAATACAGGGTGTTTCGAAATTGGCGCACACGGACTGTGGGATGGTGTTATACAACGAAAACTGAATACAAAGTTCCTCTACCAGTTTTTGATCAGACCGGCACTTTTTTTTTACTAGCAGACGGCGGACATTTTGAACAACTGTTGTAATTACGTACTCGTCATAATTATAGTTTATTTTGAACCTTCTTTTGTTTTTAAAAATGTGTTAGTATTAAGTTTAACCAGTGGCGCAGCGAAGGGAGAGGGGCGGAGATTTTTAAAACCGCGGTAGCTCGAAAAATAGCGGTCTGATGGAAAACTGGTAGAGGAACTTTTTGTTCAGTTTTTATCGTATAACACTATCCCATAGTCCGTGTGCGCGAATTTCGAAACACCCTGTATAATGGCACCATTCGGAGTGAGGGACGACGACAATGTTGCATTGTGTTGCTCACGAATTGGGCTCCGTTGTTGCTTTGGATACGAGGTAAGGGAGGGCGTTCCGTAGCGAAGGAATATTTCTGAGAGAAAGACTTGGGCGCAGGCTTGGCTGATGGCTTGAGTGAGGGCGAACAATTCCATCTATCGTGACGCTAAGTCTTCGATTATTATTAGGATCCATTTTTCTTTTGTGAGTGCCTCGGAGAAAGGTCCCAAAAGATCGAACTCTATTACCTCAAATCTACTTGTAGCCGCAGGCGTTTGAAAGGACAGCCGAACCTTCCTTTCTTGAATAGTATTCCGAACTCTGCCGTACCGTAGTTTAAAGTTCGATAGCATTTTCTTAAAAATTATCGTTTGGGCGCAAATACTGTAGGAGAAGAATATAGCACCTAGGAGTCTGTAATACCCCCCAGTAGACGAACATTCTATTACCCAATAAACGATGGTTTGATAATTCATGGAACCCTGTGGGAAAAGGTAAGCGGATCTTCACTGATCACTCCGGATCACCCCGGTCCTCAGTTTACCCACAAAAAGGCTTAGCCATCAAGACTCTCAGACCGAGGTGTCTGGGTGGTATGGAATACCATACCCATCAGTACACGAATATTCCAGTACCCAATAAAGGTTGCATTGATATTTCTTGCTCTATTATTCCTGGAACTTAATAATAATAATAATAATAATAATGTGTTTATTTCCACCAAATTAAAGAAATGGAAACCACAGGGGTTATCGGTTCAGTTGCTGCACAGGCAGGTTCTGATCTTCCACCGACTCCCTGAATACAATTAGAATTAACATAATCAAGTAATGCTTATAACTGAGTAATATAATAAAAAGGAAAATATGAAATAGTAATAAATGCACATAGGAGTAACTAAATGAGAGTGAGATGAAAAGAGATTGAGTAATATACTAAGAAAAGCGGACAAAGAGACGAGAGACAAGTTAAACAAGATAGATATGAATGACAATCTACAACGTACGTACAGAGTCATGGGCTAATATTTGACGCAATTTAATTTTGAAATACTGCGGAGAAAGGGGCTTAATCAAATCTGGAACAGACGAATATACTTTAAAAATATTATAACTAAAAGATCTCTTGTACATTTCTGTGTGATGAGAGGGTGGAGTAATCCCACCACTAAACCGTAAATTTAAGTTGTGAACATCGGTTCTAAAAGATATTTTGCGGTATAAATATGGAGGAGATTTGTTCCAGATAATTTTATGATACAGACACGCCGCAGTAAACAGTCGCCTATCCCTCATGCTGAACCAGCGTAATTCTTTTAATTTTGAAGATACTCGGTCAAACTTCCTAAGACCAAATACTAGTCTAATTACTTCCATGGAACTCATTGGGAAAAGATAAGCGAATCTAACCCCTAAGACCCCCCGGGTGCTACGTTCTCCCTCGAAGTGTTTAGCTATAGCCTCTTTAAAAAAATGTTATGTTAGGGCTAAGGGCACTAAACTTCTTGGTAAAGCATGTAGAACCCCGAGGTGGGGAACAAACACTCTCCACGCCTTTCTCTGCAAACTGGGCAGAAGAAATTTTGTAACAAAGAATAAATTATTCGTAGATACTCGATCCGCATGCAAGGCACCATCAAAAAAGATCATGAAAGAACAACACGTCAATCCAGCCTTTGTACTCGAAGAAAAGTACACGTACAGGTACGCGATGTGAATATTAATTGCACGTGTATTATTCCATATTGTTATAGAGAAGAAAATGGTCCGAATAAACCGGTGGAGCACAAAATCGAACTAAAAGAGAGCAATAAATCGATAGACGAAGAATTTGACCCCTTCAAGCACAGGACAGTTGAACATCCCACCACGTAAGTCTTTTGTACACCATACAAGCGTTAAAGTATTCTCTTCCAGAAATTGGGAAACCTTCTTTCATCTAATCAAAGGATGCCTGGGCACGGGAATTTTGGCGATGCCCAAGGCGTTTAGCAACTCTGGTTATCTGCTGGGAATACTTGGTACTCTATTTATTGGTTGCATATGCATATATTGCATTCATATACTCGTCAAGGCCGAGTACGAGCTGTGCAAAAGGAGAAGGGTGGGTAGTCTCACTTTTCCGGCGACGACCGAAGCTGCGTTTCGGGATGGGCCCGCTTTTTTCCGAGCCATGGCGCCTGTCTCAGTGTAAGTGGCTCACTGTAGTTAATTGTAATACGGAACGTGAGTTATAGGCACGTGGTGAACATCTTCGTGTTGGTCTACGAACTGGGAGCCTGCTGCGTTTACATCGTCTTCATAGCGGCAAACGTGCGGAGCGTTGCCAACGTGTACATAGACGACCTCGGCATTGCGGTCTACATGGCGATCTTCCTTCTGCCGCTTATTTTCGTCAACTGGATCCGCAACCTGAAGAAGCTCGCGCCTCTATCGACTGCGGCCAATGCGATTTCGTTCGCCAGCTTCGCCATAATTCTCTATTACATTTTTGACAACGGCGTCAGTTTCGAGGGCAAAGACGCGGTGGGCGAATTCGAGAACATTCCGTTGTTTTTCGGCATCGTTTTGTTTGCGCTAGAAGCTGTGGGAGTGGTAAGCGCCACAATTACATCTTGTCCAAGGCTGACCGGAGGTTTCAGATACTTCCGCTGGAAAACGAAATGAAGACTCCTCAGTCATTTGGAGGCACCTGCGGCGTACTGAACGCGGGTTTATCGGTGGTACTCGCCCTGTACCTCGGGTTGGGACTATTCGGGTATCTCGCGTACGGGAACCAGGTCGAAGGATCAATTACGCTTAATTTGGTGGCCACGGACATGTGAGTGCCGATAGTTCACTGTGGTAATCTGATTGTAATCTTTCAGTTTAGCACAGATCTTGAAGATCAGCTTGGCTTTGGCCATATTTATAACGTACACGATCCAGTACTACGTTGCTATTGACATTACGTGGACACAGTACCTGAGCCCAAAATTCGAAGGGAAACCGAGAAAGGAAGTTTGGGAGTACGTAACGAGGACTGTACTCGTTTTACTTACATGTAAGTAGCAAATCTGATTGACAATTCGCGACCAAGACCATTTTCAGTTATACTGGCTGTGACCGTCCCAGCGTTGGACTTATTCATCTCCTTATTTGGAGCGCTCTGTCTGTCTGCACTGGGTATAACCATACCTGCGGCTATTGAGACGTCAACCTACTGGTACACCAGGGACGGATTTAGCTTTTATTTTATGGTCGTTAAGAACGCGGCGTTAATAGTCTTTAGTCTTCTGGGATTGGTTGCCGGTACCTACATAAGTTTGCGCGACATTATCGTCGAATTTTCATAATCTTAGATTGTAACTCATAAGTGAATCAGTATTATCAATCTGTAAATAGTGCTTTGTTATCAATAAACGATGTTTTCGACATTCACTTCCTATGAAAAAGAAGGTGTGAAGAAGAGAGACGTAAAAGAGGTACATACAAAGACATTAAAAGCCTCACTTGCAATAAATATAATTGAACATTTACTGTAACAATTAATTTTTATTTATCAACGAGTAGTTCAGTAATAAAAACTGCACACCCCTTAGGGTCCCTGAGGAAGTTTGACTTTATCTCCTCTCAAAATCTGAAAGTTAGTCTATTGCTCTGGTTGGATTAAAATCGAATAAATACGCATTGATAAACAATAAAATTGCACCAACGAAAATAGTACGTCCTCGCCCTGATAGTCTCACGTTTATTGCTCTTATCTCTAGTCATACTTTCGTTCACGTTTACTATGAAGCGGTACAATTTCCCTATGTTTAACAAAATCCAAATTGAAAAATTCACACAAGCGCTCGCAGTAGGTAACTCTTGAACGTATTCAAAAGGCAAACCGCGGGCCTCTCCTATCACCAACCTTGCAAATTACAAAGCACACAGGAAAACTGGCAGAGTGTGACAGACTGTTCAACACAGCTTCTGAGGGAACCTCAAAACAGCAAGCTACCCAAATGTCATTTCTGCCAAGGGCGACAATTCATCCGTGAACCGGGCCAATACAAAGCGCAATAGTACGGCCCCGGGAAATTTCGTACTTGTGGTCACGGACCTATACGGTAGGTGGATGGAAGCATTCCCACTAAGGCGCGCTAAGGCAGACAGCGGCGTGATCAGCCTAGCAAACGGGGTATTCGGACGTTTGGGATTCCCAGAACAGTGTCCGACAACGGATCCCCATTCACGTCAACCATCATGGGAAAATGGGGTTGTTTCCATTGAATTACCCGCCACCCAACCTAAGAGGTAAAAAATGACGCCGCAAAGAACCGACCCGAGAAACTGGGTTAAATACCTGCCCATCACTGAGAACTCGCAAAAACGCAGTAACAGGCACCCCCCGAATCAGGCACTGAGTTGGGATACGAGCTTCCATGACCAGGTGAATGGCAGGCCAGGAAAGAACAACCGCCTCGACAAGGAACTGAACAACCCCGACAGTGAGCTTCTCAGGCGCGCAATTAAAGTACTCAGTGTAGTTTTTCTAAGAAATGGAGGAAGGAGACGGCCGGGCATGGAAACCGTCTCTCACTTCCACTTCCAATTTTCATACAAGAAGAAAAAGTGACTCCGGGAAATGCCGCCGGAATGTACTAATTATCCCATGTCTTCATTACCATACGCAAGGACGCACGTTCTCCGCCTTGCGAGATACTGGTGCCACGGAACAACTTCGTCCGCGGAGCTGGCAAAGAAAATGATGGCGTTACCCGGAGGTGAGGTCAACGCATACATATCGCTCACCCAGGAAATGGAGGGTCACCGTCATCATTCTAAAACGAGTAGAATTGCTCCCCTGGCAGATGATGAGGGCGATGCGTCGCACCATATCGTGATCATCTCCGTTACACAGAGTCAGAGGACTTGTGTATTTTAAGGCTGATTTGTGGGACCACCGAGGGGCATCGATTTTCTGAAAATCAACAGTTGAATCTCAGGAGAGAGTTTATTGAACATCCCCGTAACTTCTACATTTTGGATGTACGTGAAATAAGATTGAGTATTCTCTGTAGGTTTGATAGAGGAATGCGTAATCCCTTTGGAGGAGATCTCGCACGGTCTCAGTAAACGCGTTCCTAAACCGATTTTAATTTAAAGAACGCTTTGGCCATGGATTTCCTGCAAAGAAGCATCTTCAAACAACATATCGGGTCGAAGATCATGAAGGAAACGACACCTTGCAGCTTTAGAACATAATCTATTCTTCGGGATGAAACAGTCCTCTGCTCGAGGATAAATCGAACCTCTTGGATTATAGTTGCACACCAGGATTTTCACATCGTAAGATTATCTTCAGCATATTATAGACTTTCTGCCAACCGAGACAATAAAATCCACCGCCTAACTTAGGTACTACAGCTTTTCGCGTCTCCGTCTGCAACATCTTGTAATGGTCCTAAGGTTCTATCAAGCCGACACTGAAAACGTTGACTTACCTATACTTACCGGTGGTAACTGGGAAATAACTATGAGCAGAGCCACCTACCTTTCGAGTCGAAACGATGGACGTTTTGCGGCACTTTCGAATTTGGATGGCAGTCGGCTCGATATATGGGTGGCACGAATGAAGTCCTACGTTGTGTAATCGGTTCTTGAATGTGTTGGGATGTGAATTAAATAAACAGAACTTTTGTGCGTAAAAAATGACAAGAACAAATAAATATATTACGCACACAACAAGACCATACCAGGGAAACCTTCTATGGGACAAAAACCCCGGCATAGGACACACAAATACATGAAATAAATCACCTACAGCAATAAAATGCAAGAGAAAATACACATAAATAAAACATCTCAAATTGTATGATAAAAATCAGATAATCAAAACAAATGCAATTAAACAAGTTCATAAAAACAAAATACACAAGACATCATAAATGCAGTAGAAAACTTGATAAATCAATTCAGTATAAAAACACATCAAAATAAGCTGTACGATCAATTGAGTTAACACAACTCGTAAAGTACATAGGAGACATGTAAATGGTGTGGCTCTACTCCAGCCTTCAGTTAACATAAATTAATTTAACACGAAAAGTACATGTGAGAATGGCAATTGCAAGTATTCATGTGAAAATCGATTATCGCTCAAGCAGAACATATTTTAAATAGAGGAAATGTTAATGAGAGGGCCCCTAAATATCTCACATTGCTAAGAACTGCAATCCGCACGAGCCGAGTGGGCAACAGATACAGCGAACGGTCGAACTGTATTAGGTACCTACCTACTCCACGGAGACAGGTTGAACCACTCGCACACAGAAACATCAAATAAGAGAGCCCCCCTTCGTATAGCTAACGCACAGTGCAGCGCGCCACGAATCAGAAAGTAACAGATACAGCGAATCAAACTGTATTAGGTGCTTCCCTCACGGAATAGTTACGAATCAATCGAACAAAGCAACATCGCACTGATACTGATACTTAACTCTTCGTGGATATAGAAATAAATACTTAATAAAACAAATGAATGGCATAATCACCTACTGTACAGTATAGGTAACAAACACGATTCATCTAATGGTACTCAAAAACAAAAGCATGGAGTTGGCCATATTTAGATACCGTAGTTTATGCAAGCAAAATGTAAATCATATCAAATTGTGGCAAGAGATTCAATAATTAATAGCTAGTACAAGAAAAAATAAAATGGTTACTAGCTTAAATACACCTTCAAACTTCCTTTGCTGGGGGTTATCGCTATCACCAACCAGATATTACATGATGGGCAGTAGTAGTACAGGAATGGTAATTTTTGCGTGCGCAGTAGCCCCTCCTCCCCCCACCCAACAAACTAAATAATCAGAAAGGAAAACCCGGGAAAGCACATCATGCTCTCCATCTAAGAGTAAAAAATAAACAAGTTAAAAAGTAATCGTAAAGGATTTACAAAAAGCGCATTTCAGTTTATAATAAAAATTTCATTTCAATGCTTTTCTAAATAAGAAATTTGGAACTGCGCATGCGCAAACCTAAATTTTGAAACTAATGTTAGATTTTCCTTTGTTCCAAGCACCTAAGTATCAAATTTCACTTAAATGCTTCCATAGATAAAAAAGTTGGCACTGCGCATGCGCAAAACCAAACTTTGAAACTGGCGCTAGATATACATAGAAAACAAGCTGTTAAACATCAACATAGATTATCCTCTTTCTTAGATATCACTCACGGCGTCCCCCAAGACTCCATACTAGGCCCAATATTGTTTTGTGTGTATGTGTCGCAGATAGAATCTGCTGTCTCTTTCACAAAACTGCATTGTTACGCGGACGATACGCAATTATATTTGTCTTTTCCCCCAAGTGTAACTGAATCAGCTCTAGCTGCGTTCAACTGTGACCTAGCAAGGCTAGCTGAATGTTCGAAATCCCACTGCTTAAATATAAACCCCTCTAAGTCCGTTGCTATCCTGTTTGGGAAGAAAAACGATCGTGAACGGCATCTAAATGACATCTGCCCTAGAATCGACGCAGCCACCATTCCCTTATCCACTCAAGTCAAGAATCTAGGGTTGCACACAGCACATGGATAGCAATTTGAGGTTTACGCAACATAAATTGCAAAAAGCGTACAGTGTGCTACTCATTTATCAATATAGACGTTGTTTTGAGATACGCATTAAAGCGATGCTCTGTTCCACCCCGATGCTTTGATGACCATGTAGATGTAGTGTATAATAAATGTATTACACGCTCAGATTGTAACAGAATTCAAAAATTGCAGAATAGCAGTATTAGGATAATTTGCGGCATTCGAAAATTTGGACATATAAGCCACAAGCTGAATGATTTAAATTGGCTGAATATGGAGGGCAGGCGAAACTTGCACGCAGCCTGCTTTTATTATAAACTATTAATAAATAAAACGCCTCCTTATCTCTATAACAAGCTGAAATTTCGAACTGATGTTCATACCTTAAATTTACGCCATAAAGGGCTGCTTACACCACATATTCATGCAACGGCAATATTTGAGAGATCATTTCTCTTATAATTTAACGCAATGGTTTAATACACTAGATATGGCCATCAGTAAGTACACTTTCACAGCATTCAGAACTCGCATTATTTCGAAGTTGCTACTGCAATAATAATTAGCGCACTTTTGAATTTTGTTTCTATTTTACTTATCTTATTTTTAATATTTTTATTTCTTTTCTGTGATTCAATGTCTTGTAAAATCCATGGTATACCTCTACCTACTAATGACCACAACATTGTCGATCAAGTGGAATCATTATGGGTTAGATGGAAGAGCAGGGGTAGACTTTCTACTCCTGAATCTCGCCCTAGGCAATGTATTCGTGGCTAGCAAAAACAAAATCAATAAAGACCGTTATTATTATTTATTATATTATTTTCTTTTGTTCCAAGCGCCAAAGTATCAAATTTCACTTAAATGCTTCCATAGATATAAAAGTTGGCACTGCGCATGCGCAAAATAAAATTTTGAAACTGGCGTTAGATTTTCCTCTATTCCAAGCACCGATGTATCAAATTTCATTTAAATGCTTCCATAAATAAAAAAGTTGACACTGCGCATGCGCAAAACCAAATTTTAAAATTGGCGTTTGATTTTCCTTTATTCCAAGCGCACATGTATCAAATTTCGAATAAATTCTTGCATAAATAAAAAAGTTGGCACTGTCTATGTATCAAATTTCATTCAAATACTTTTATAAATAAAAAAGTTTGCAATTCGGTTTATAAATGGTCGAAATGCGAAAAGGGCACTCTGAATTTTGAATCGATTCGACTCAACTTTTGGCATTTCGTATTATATGGCTAAAGCTATGCCTATATTGAATTACATGCAATTCTGTTAATAACTAACGGAGACGTAAAAGCGATCGGACATTTCTCAACAGTTATATCGTTCACACGGACAGATAGAGGGACAGACAGACGAAGGAACAGACGGACAAACCAACAGACAGACGACAGACAGCAATACAAAATTATAAACGATCTCTAGGATCGTTAATAAACGGCAAAAGTGTAAAATTATGGAACATGTAAAAAACGGTTTGCTGGTTTTTTTACAATAACTTTTTTTGTAAGCGGTACACAAAAAATTCCTTCCTTGGTGTAAGCCTCGACACCATACGAACCAAATAGCGAAAAAAGTAGAACAATAGCTCTTAAGATAAAGAACTAGTAGCGTCTCAACGAACGAGCGGACGGACGGACAAAGTGGTCACAATAGCGCATTTTTTTTTATTTTTTTGGAAATGCGCTAAAAAAGAGAGAACCTTGCATTAAAAGGGGACGAGACGGAAATGGACAAAAAGGAAGTAATAAAAGTGCGTGAAGAGTGGGGAGAAACGCATCATTATGGGCAGTGGTGTAATAAAACTAAACCGACATCGTCTCTTCTGTTTTATAAGTCAAGTCGCGGTCTAGGACATTAGGGCGCGACCGAAAGGGTGCTGCCGTTAGGGCGCGAGACATAAGGGCGCGTGGACATAAGGGCACGAGGACAAAAGGGTGCGGGACATAAAGGCGCGGGGACATAAGGGCGCGAGGACATATGGGCGCGGGATAGAGTATTCTCTAAAAAATATATATCGTAGTTAGTTTGTGTTGATATGTTATACCAACAGTCATTACACAGGGCGTTCAAGATACCAAAAACATGTAATGCGCAATGCCAAAAGATTGGGTCACACATTTTGTCACTTTTACTTGTATATTTGTAGCGTCGAGTTGCTTAAATGATACTGTTATGCTTTGTCCCAAATCGCCGGCTTGCTCGATTTGTTCACGTCCAACCATTTAAAAAAATAACGGCGCAACCGATTATAATGTAATTCTGCAAATAGATTCTTTATCAAATTTGTAGATAGGCGTTTGAGAATTGGCAATATCGACCAAAGAATAAACAGTGCCATTTTGACATCTTCGCTTGTTATGCATCGAAGTGCACGAGTTTCCGTTATGGATAGCCGACACCAATATGATAGGCGCACTACCAAAATTGGGGTTTAATAGATCCAAAATTCACAATGCTTTTTTAACTTCTCGGCCATTTATTTAAGAAAACATTTAAAAAAGAACGGATGAACCGATTACTCTGAAATTTACCTATATATCTATATTTGTGTATCTTGAACGCCCTGTGTATTGTGTAATGACTGTTTGATATAACATATTAACACAAACGAACTACAATATTTTTTTGTTTAGAATACTTTATCCCGCGCCCATATGTCCTTGCGCCCTTATGTCCCCGCGCCCTTGTGTCCCGCGCCTTTATGTCCCGCGCCCTTTTGTCCTCGCGCTCTTATGTCCACGCGCCCTTATCTCTCGCGCCCTAACGGCCGCGCCCTTTCGGTCGCGCCCTTTCGGAGGCGCCCTAATGTCCGGCTCCGGTCAAGTCGACATAACTGACCAGCGCAAAGGAAGCGATATGATGACAACTTCCGTCGCGTGTTATGCTATTTCCCACCACCGTTATATTCTCTCCCCTTAATTTTTACTCGTAGCTCTCCATCGACTCCGTTGCCATCTTCTTTTTTCCCCTAGCTTCGTTACGAAAATCCCTTAGTATTCGGCATCTGTGCAAAACGGTCGATTGGTTGTATACAGAGCATATCATATTTTTGTTTCAGATGTAAAGGTGTGTTTAGCCTAACCATAAGGATGGATTATCACAATCTTCTGCCTCCAATCATGTAGGGTATTAGACATCATCTGATAATCCGGTTTGTCAATAGATAGTACTTTCGTCACTAGGTAATAAACGACACGTCCGTTATACTGCCGTTTCCCACACGGTTTTTTTCTCTCGTTCTTCCACTTGGTCGATTTTCGTTTTTGAATAGTGGGGCATTCGAAAATCGGTACCTTTTTTAGTCCATCCGGCAGGTTTCCTCTCGACATCGATTCTAGAAATGCCCAATTTCTTCGCAATTCCAACAACGGATCTGTTTCTTTGTCACCATAGCCTTGACACCTTGATCAGCACCTCTTCTTATACAGCTCTAACGCTACTGCTTTTCTTCTAGCGCGTCAGTCAAAGTTTTCCAGATGTCATCGTCACGAAGACCCGAATGGTTATTAAACCAGACGTACAGTTTAAAAATTCTCCTAAAGTTTCTATATACTATTAATAATTCAATAATTGCATCATGTATTCCAAATTTAATCTTATACAAATAAAGGTCATTTAGAGATGTTGTATCTCCACGTTAACGGAATGATTTGATGAACTCGGCAGTGAAAGTTCCCTGACTATCTCCGATATGCAGCTGTAGCTGCCGGACAGTAAACCTAAAATTCCAATCAAAATCAGTACAAGATCCTTATACAGCACCCATCTCCTGTATCCGAGACGATCGGGCCACAAGACGCATATTTCCATTATAGCGGGAAACGCAATGCCAAGAGCCGATAGGCAAAAGGCGCCGAACAGTGAAATGAAATGTCCAAGCATTGGAACAAACAACGCCAGTACAACTGAAAAACAGTGATCAACACTTATTATGCTATGACAATGTGTAGATAGTTACATGTGACAAGAACGGTGACAACCCTAAGCAAGTATTCACATACCCATGGCCGTTTAAAGTTGATGAAGTAGTGTGCCAGATAAGTATTCCACATTATGTTAATCGGTACAAAGCCTTGCAAGCCATATGAAATGAAGATTGCCAGCGAGTACAACCCTTGCACCACCTTGGACAGTCTGCCAAACGACGGTGAGTGTGCACAAGTAAAGTTGATAACTTACATATGATCGGGAGGTAGATTGAGGGTGATACTCGATTTAGTACCATTCCCGTATCTCCAATATCCAAACAATCCGATACCAACGTAGGACAGGACGATGAAGAACATGGCAACATTCAGCACGCCAAAACTGCCTCCAAAGCTCTTGGGTGTTTTCATGTTGTTCTCCAACGCGATTACCTTAAAAGATTAGAACTGTAGCACGTCGACTGAAAGTCAGCTTAAACCAACCACACCAACAGCCTCCAGGGCGAATAGGGTCGTCCCAAAAAATAGGGGAAACTTATACAGCGTACCAACCAAAGGTCGATCTTCTATGGGTTGAATGTCGGAAAATATATAATACAAAACGATGCCAAAACACGCGAACGTCATCAGATTAGAAACCAGTGAAAATGGAGAAAGCCATTTTAGGTTGGGCACCGAAAGGATGAGCACAAAAGGTGCCAAGAGTATTAAAGTGTACAGCTCTATTGCCATCGGTTTCGAGCGATAAACGTCGCACAACTCCTTCAGATTTGCCGCGACAAACATAACATACACGCAACAAATTCCCAACTGATATAATATTAGGAACGCGTCCACCAGGTACCTAGAAAGAGCGCGTAAGTTCGAGGACGAAGTCGAGACACTTACGGGGATAGATTCGCGAATGGGTGTAGGAATTTTGGGCCGCTCAAGAGGGCGGCCTTCATCGACTCGGGGTAGGTGAGCAGAGGGACCCTCATCCTTTTGCACAAGATGTACTGGGCTTGAACCTGAAAGGTGCGTTATGTGTAGTGGAAGATCGTAGGTGGTCTTACCAACATGTGAAGCTCGTAAGTGCACAGGATTCCGATTAGGATGGTGAATATGAAACCGTTCACCATGCCGGCGTTCTTGAAAGCTTCAGGCATCGCTAAGATTCCCGTGCCCAAGCTTCCCTTGAGAAGATGAATCAGCGTGTCGGTGTTTCTAAAAGTCAACGTGAGAGGGAATCTAACAACTCATTCACTCACGTTGTTGGGTGGGCTACATTCCTGTGACTGTGAGGGTCATAATCCTGTTCGCCCATTTGTACCTTGGCGGCCCTGCAACGTTACAACTTGAACCACCCTTACCACCATAATCGTCATTCACCCACTTCGGTTTCCATTTGGGAAACTCTTGCATAGCCACATTCTCGGTCGACATTTCACCTTACTTTTCCACAACTGCGTGTTTACATCTATAAACAAAATTGACCTTTCTTTTAAAAATTGGACGTCAATATGACGATAAAGCATAAAATGCAGTTCTAACCGGTATCAAAACCATCAAGCAAAGAATTCCTCAATTAAAAAGTGCCGCACTGTAAACGTGGGGGAACTTAAATTGACCGCCCGAATTTTCGATTGGGGTGATGAGAATGTCGATGTATAATTAAAGTTGAATGGCTGCCACCGTACGAAAATAGAATGCTAAATTTGAAAGTAATTATTTCGGTTATAAAAGGAATTATATTACCACAACGTCAACGCATGAGATGATAGCGCACTCAATTAAGTTCAACTGAACAAATTGTAGTTAATCAAATCCGTTCACGCAATCTCACGCAATGAATTACATTGAGAAGGCTGAATTTGATATTTGTACAATTTGAGTTGAGCTAACCTGGAATGTTGAGTGACACAAATTACAATTGCCTATGATTTAATTTAAATTTAATATTTGCAAAGCCAAAGTGGAAATCCTTCACAACTTACTCAGATCAGCGGGTATGATTACACACAATATTGAAAAAGTCGGGTCCGTGAAGTCGGAGTGTCGACTTGAAAAGAATTAAGTTCCAAGTATCTCATAATTTTGTGCTAATTTGTGCTGCTAATTAAAAACTTTGTGCTCATCAGGTTAATTTTCTTTTGTCGTTACCGATTACGATTCTTAATTAAGTTATTTGTATCACTCCGAAGAATTTGTTCATACTAGGTATCTTCTTTACATTTTGAATTAAGTAAATTACATTGCTGTTGTATAGAAATTTAGTTATTTGAGCATAGTAAAGTAGTTTTGCTTGAGTTAAGGTCACGTTCATGCTTTTTTTATATACCGATTTGTACGGACGATCCGTGGTTGAGTCAAAATTTTGCTTTTGCACGCATGAGTTTTTTTTGTGGTTAATGTTAAGCCAATATTGTTACCATTTTTAGCTATTTGGTTAATCGCAGGTTGGAGGATACGGTTTATTTGCCCTACAGTTTTGGCAGAGTAATATATGGCGGTATCGTCAACGTATATACATTTACAAATTTCATTAGGGATGTTCATGGCAATATCGTTAATTGCTATTATGAATAGCGTACAGCTTAGGGTAGATCCTTGGGGAACTCCGTTTTCAAGGATGTTTGTATCACCAACTCTTACTCGAAAGCACCTGTTACTGAGAAAGGACTTTATTAATAACGGCAATTTACCTCTCAGATTAAAATGAAAAATCTTTTCCATTATACCATGCCTCCAGCACATATCATATGCTCCCTTAATATCAAAGAAAACAGCCACCAAGTGGTTTCTTTTACGAAAGGATTCCTGGGTGGCGTGTTCTAAGAGGACCAAGTTGTCAGTAGTCGATCTATGTTTTTTGAAGCCCGCTTGGTACGACGCTAAAAGATTGTGTTTTTCAAGGTGCCACTCCAGTCTGTTATTTACCATTCTCTCCATTATTTTCCCCATACAACATGTGAGACTAATTGGGCGGTAGCTAGCTGAACTCAGCGGATTTTTCCCAGGTTTTAATACAGGTATAACTACTGTTTCCTTCCACTCATTTGGGTAAGTATTATTATCCCATAGTTTATTATATAGTTGTAATAAACTCGTTTTTATTTCAGGTGTGAGATTGAGTAGCATTTCGTTTGTTATCAAATTATGACCTGGAGCTGCTTTTTCACTACTCTTTATAGCAAATTCTAGTTCTTCGATGGTGAAGGGTACATTATATTCGAGTTCTAGGATTGTATCAAAAGGAATTTCCGTTTCTCTCTCATTTTTAGTTGCAGCGAAACTGGATGGATAATTTGCAGACCTGCTAGTATTTGCAAATTGCCTATCCAACGTGTTTGCAATCTCGGTCAGATCTTCCGTGATTACATTTTGGTGGGGTTGTATGGAATAAATTATTTGACTTTTGAATCTCTCCCAGATATTGTTGGTATTAGAGCTTCCCGAAATGGTTGTCGTATATTGGGTCCAGCTTTTTCGCTTGTTTTCGAGTAAAATGCGCCTACTAATATTGCTCTAGCTCTTTTAAAAGCAATATGGTTTTCAATAGTTGTATGTCTTTGATACTGTAACGTGTTTTATAAATTCGGGTTCGATTTATATCAATATTTATTAAACAAAACTAAAACACTATAAAATCCGTACAATTTATATCGATTATTTATATCACACACTTCGAAATTTATATCAGCTTTTCGCGCTCGATGTTTCCGTACTCGTTCGATAGTAGACTGCCGCGATGTTCGGTCCGCAACCATTTATACACGCAAGCAATGTAAGTCCAGTACATTCTCGAATACGCGTAGAAAATTCCAGAGTGCAAAGGCGACGTCATGTCTGCAGCATTTCCGTTACACTGCCCCCTTCTTAATTCTGGACATCTCGTTCAGAAACTGCGTTAGTATTATTTTTTAATGTCTCGTGTCGGAATCTGCAGTCAGAGCCTGCTCGACAAACACCTTTCTTGAAAAAGTAACAGTCCACAGTTTTGCGGAGGGTCGTCCCCTGTGGGTTGAAGCAGCATACTGTAATTCGAACGCTAGTGTTTCTAAAAATCACTTCGATCATGGTTCGCACTATTTTCCAGTCCAACCCATCTAAACCACATCCAATCTTCGGAATCGCCAAGCTATTTATGTCATAGTATGCCATGGCTTTTTAAAGCAGACCAGAGGTTTTCATAGGTGGGTTTGCCTTCTGACGTTTTCTTTGAAACCAAGTAGAACAAAGAGCGTTGACTATCTTCCAAGCGCAGTACTTTACCCACTCGTGGTCTTTGCTTTAACAACTCGTCGATTCTTCCAAATCTTTTCCGGAATACGGAAGCTATACCTCTACCCATGCGAAGGTCTTCGGCGACACAATGGGCGATGGAAACGTTAACCGGAAGCTCAAAAATATTTTGACAAAGTTCCTGAGTAACGCCAAATAGAGCTTTCGTCCGCTGGGCGTAATTTGACATAAAATCGTTAAAGTTTGGCTCGATCCCAAAGCTGCGTTCCTCTTCTCGAATACCTCTAACTTCTTCGTTGTTGTTGGATCCGGCATATCGTGCGAGTCGATTAATGTGGACAACTTTCGGTTTCCGGTGGTTCATTCTGATACGATATATCACGTCATTTATTTTCTTGATCACCTCATACGGACCTTCCCATTGTCTTTGTAGCTTGGGAGAAAGACCTCTTCGTCTCTGTGGATTGTGCAGCCATACCAGATCTCCAGCTTCAAAAGTTTCATTGGCCGAGCGGAGGTTGTATTGATTTTTCATGCGATCGCTGGCAATCTGAATATGACTTCTAGCCAAGTCGTGAATGTCGTTCATCTTCGCCTTAGTTGGTCAACATAATTTTCACCTGCGACATATTCTTCATGGGGTTTACGCCCAAACTCGAGATCACATGGAAGGCGTAGTTCACGACCCAACATTAGGCAGGCAGGAGTCTGACCCGTGGTCTCGTTGACGGCTGATCGATATGCCATAAGGAACAGGTGGAGGTACTGGTCCCAATTTTTCTGATGTTCTGCCACGACTTTTGAAAGATATTTACCCATCGTTCGACTACCAACGTTATACTGCCTCATGGGTGCCTTCTTCTTGGAAACTGGTCCGTTTCCAGTAGCACATAACTCACATTTTTGACACCATCGCCGGACATCTTCTTTACGGTTGATCCAATAGAATCGCTCACGTACCCTTTGCAACGTTTTCGTAATACCAAAGTGTCCTCCGGAAGCGCCGTCATGCAATTTTCGCAATACTTCCGACACTTTGCTTCTAGGTACTACTAATTGCAGCGTCGATTCGGTCCCATCTTCACTTTCAAGGGTCCTATACAACAGGTTGTCTTTCAGAGTCAGGCTATTCCATTGGCCCCAATAACTCTTTACTTCAGGACTTGTGGCACTAATGTGTTGCCAGTCTGGTCTTTGTCCGTGGCGCATCCAATTCAGAACAGTTTTTAAACTTGGGTCGTTTTCTTGGGCCGTTTTGATTTCGCTTGGCTTCCATTCCTCACTCTCTACAGTTGTTCGTCGCAGATGACCAATCTTGTCTTCTATTTTAGAACAATGTGTGCAGTTGTCCTTGCACGGTCTTCTTGACAAAGCGTCTGCATTATTGTGAACTTTTACAGACGACGTAATGTTTACAGTGCAGACCGGGGCTTTGTTTCTGCAGGTCGGGGATAGCCCCTTCCTGTCGACCTTTCTTAGTTTTCCGACTGCTGTAATGGTTTTTGGCAGTTGCGGCGAACGTGTCCAATCTCGCCGTGGTTCACGTTTCTTTGCCAGTGACTGTATTGCTTTATTGATCTTTTCTTCCACTTCTTTACTGACCTTTTCTTCAAAACTTTCAGAGCCACCTTCCTCTTCGATGGTTCTTACCCGGCTCTCACTGCGAGGTTCCACCATACGTACTCGCACACTTCCATGACTAGCTTTCTTGGGAATTCTAACGCATGGGCCAAAGCTTTCTCAATTTTGTCGTGCCTAGCCAGTCTCAAAGCCTGCTGGGCATCTCCATCACGAACGGCATCGATAAATGTTTGTACAGCCAGTTGATCAAGAAAGCTCTCCGGTGCCGTAGGGTATGCCAATCGAATCAGTCTGGCGATGTCCGCTTCAAGTTCCTGCAAACTTTCTCCAGGTTTCTGCATTCGGTTCTTGACTTGGGCATAGTAAACTTGCTGAAGGTGTTTATCGCCATATCGCATTTCGAGTCGCGCTATTTGTTGGAAGTTCTGTTGATCCTCGGGGATGGTCCGCAACACATCCAGAGCATCTCCTCTCAGAGCAAGAATCAGGGCTGTAGTTTTTGTCTTGAAGAGTCCATTTATTTGCCGCAGCCGCTGCTTCAAACTGTCGAACGTACGTGGTCCAAGGAACTTTACCATCAAAAGTAGGTGGCTTTACTCGGGCTTGCTGAACGTCGCCTTCTACTCTTGTATTTGTTTCTGGGGCACTACTAGTACGCTCTTCCGTAGTCAGTCGCAAGAATTGCTCGCGCAGCTCTTCATACTTGTGCTCAATCTCAACGAATGTTGCTTTAAATGTTTCGGAAACTTCCGTAATTCTATCTTCAACTTTTTCTTCAATTGATTTAGAGACTTCTTCGATAATCTTTCTAGAATTTTCCTCCATCTTTTCGAACTTCTCGTCCATTTTTCTAGAGTTTTCCTCAATCTTCTCGAACTTCTCTTGAATATTTCTAGAATTTTCTTCATTAATCTTTCTAGAATTTTCTTCCATTTTCTCGAACTTCTCTTGAATATTTCTAGAATTTTCTTCCATTTTCTCGAACTTCTCTTCAAAATTTCTAGAATTTTCTTCCAACTTCTCAAACTTCTCTTGAATATTTCTAGAATTTTCTTCATTAATCTTTCTAGAATTTTCTTCCATTTTCTCGAACTTCTCTTCAAAATTTCTAGAATTTTCTTCCATCTTCTCTTGGTTGCTTTTCATTTCTTGTTGCAACACCTGTTGGCCATTTTGGATTTGCTGGAGCAAATTGAGCATCGTTTCTTCCATTTTAGCGGCG